ACTGACACCTTGACTTTCTTTGCAGTCTCTCTGTAGGACAGACCGACATTTATAAGAGTTATGATGGTCCGTCTCTCTTCCATTGTTAATTGCCTTTTTCTCACCATGTTTGTACCAACACACTGCTTTCTGCAGCACAGTACTGTTCAGCTGATGCTGACGAGGGTACCACAGTGTGTCCAACACTGCTTTATGCAGACAGACGGGGCTGTAAGTAATCCAGAAAGGTTGGAACACCTGTAGGAATTAGTAGCACCAGCTTCCAAGGCTGATCAGCCTCCATTGCTGCAGAACAGCTTTAAACTGTTAAATCACGTTGTGTTCCCTAAAAAAGACCTTTTTTTATTATTCTGAAATGTATGTTATATTTCAGTTTGGGGTAACCTTAGCTTTTTTTAACCTCTGGCAGTTCACCACTTACCCTTGGACCATTTCAAGATGTTGATTGGACCTGAACAACTTGAATTGCAATAAAAGTCTTTGGCTTAGAATGAAGTTGGTTTGGAAACATATTCAGCGATGCTTCATCTCCTGCTTTGCGTTTCTGTAGGTGCCCCATGCTAGCAGTGTCCAAGCATTTTTTTTTCCCCTTTTCATACCGCGCCCCCCCTGCAGTGGCTCTGCAACCCCCCTAGGGGGCGGGCCCCACACTTTGGGAAGGTCTGCCTTAACCAATGACATCTATTTGTGCAGGTGAAGAAGGCTTTCTGTGGGTGTTGCATCTTCACCAAACAAAAATGGAATCACTGAGCCACACACGGGGAACATAGTTGCTTCTCGTTTACTGAACCTTTTGTAGTCACATGTTCACAACATCACAGTGTCCGTCTACTTCCTACATCAAATCAAATCAATTTATTTATATAGCACTTTTCACAGGATAAAAACCACAAAGTGCTTCACAGAAATACATAAAATACATTAATAATCAAACACACAGCACAAATCTAATTAAAAGCCAATCTAAATAAATGAGTCTTAAGCTGCTTTTTAAAAGAATAAATACAATCAAGGCAACGTAATGATGGGAGAGCATCCCACAACCTGGGGGCCACCGCTCTAAAAGATCTATCACCTCTGGTTTTAAAATATGTTCGAGGGACTACCAACAGCTTTTGATTAGAAGATCTCAGGCTGCGAGAGGGAGCGTGGGGTTCTAAAAGATCAGAAATGTAAGCAGGGGCATCACAATTCAAAGCTTTAAAAGTCAAGACCTTCATGATATATCACAGATGAGATGACAAGATAAAAAACAATATACTGAAGCAGTCGACAAAAACACGGAGCACGAACAGCGGCCAAGCCGAACACAGGCGCCATGTTCATCATGTACATGACGCTCTTCTGTCTTCTTACATGACATTTACTTAACACAGCACCAATACCACCTCTCCTGGCCTTGCTGGTATAACAACACAAAATGCCCTTTCTCACACCCATCCCACTCCGTGTGCTTTTCCAGAGCAATAAACATGAACTAACAATGCCTGTACCTGGAAATAATAACTGTTATGCATACCCATACACGTATACATATATTTATATAAGCAAATGCTTCGTTACAATATCACATCTCCTCCGCCCTTAAGTCAACTACTCCTACTTGTCTACAAACAAATGCTTATACTGAAAAATGCTTAACAAGGAATTAACACATAACTATGGTAACCATACAACTGTACATATGTTTCTTTTTTTAATGCTAACTAGGACGATACGTCCTTCCTGTGAGATCAGACTGCATTGTTTGCTCTATTCCTGGAAGATCTCATTCTATCTAACAAAGTCCATTAGAGTCTCTGGTGGACGTCTCTCTCTCTGGGAACGTTGCAACACTGGTGCCACTGAGGAGTCTACAAGAGCCGGAGTCTCCGGAGCATATGGTAGCTCCTGGGGCTCCGATGATGGTTGTGGCGTGGTGCCCACCCCTGATGGCAAGCAGCACTCAGGAATGGCTTCCATGTCATGTAATGGCTCCACCTCCCTGTCCGGTGCACTAGGAACAGTGTCTGCAACTCTTGCTCTCGCCTGATCCACACGTTGCTTCACAGTTTGACCCGATTCGATTGCAACGATGTAAGACCATCGAGGGAGAGATCATCAAGGCCAGTCAATGATCTCACAGTGACTGCGGGAATCCACTTCGGACCATAGGAGTAGTTTCTGATGAACACCTTGTCCCCTGGTGTGAACTTCTCAGTCTTTTCTAGATGTCACGATTCTCTTTCTGTTTGTGCTGCATTTTTGTTTTCACATCAGGCATGAGCAGTGTTGGAGAGTAATGGAATACATGTACCGCCGTTACATATTTAAAATACAAGATATGAGTAACTGTATTCTGTTACAGTTACCGTTTAAAAAGGTGGTATTTAAAATGCAGTTACTTTGTTGAAATGAATGGATTACACGGCGGTCTTTTCCTGTTTCATAAGGCTATGAACTCCATATTTTTGGTTTCCATGCCGGTGGAAACCCAAACAAAACACGCATTAAGAGGCTCTCATGTCTGTGTTTCAATCTCGCAGCCCATGTCACCTCTACTTGCAGCCTTCATAATGACGTAAAGAAATATTTTAAAAAATTATTCACAAAATGATTTAATATGAAGGCAATAGGCAGAGTGTTACAGGCATCGCCCTAAAGCATGTAGCCTGATGAGCAGTGTAGTCCGTGCTGCAGGGAGAATGGACTGCTGTACCCGTTACGGAATACGTTACAAAATACATTTTGGGGCATGTAATCTGTAATCTGTGGTGGAATACATTTTAAAAGTAACCTTCCCAACACTGCCAGTATCTAATGTTATAAAACAGCACTGCTGTTCAGCACTTATACTATTGGCACTACTGATACTCGGTTGTCACAAGAGTACTGCAATGTGATGCCACATATTAACAAAATGAGCAGTGATCATTGAGAAACAGATTACATACACATAGAAACACAGAAATGAAATCTGAGCCTCACTTAACCTGAGTTCTGCTATTCCACTTTTCCCATCATGGCAGGAACATAAGGATGGACAGGAATGGGCCGCTAACAGAAGCGACTGCAAAATGTGAAAAAGTACCAGCAGATGCATCCTTTGTCAAATTAACCTTACAAAAACACAGCCTTTTGTATATCCATGTTAGTAGCCCTATCTCTCTGATGTTGTTTCCAAGGTGCAGAGTGAAAAGGAATCCCAGATTAGCTGGGATTACGCTGCTTACGAGTGGCATGTAATCCCACACTTCAATCAGAATAACACATTAAAACATCGGGGCCAGCCTAAGGCTTTTTGAACCTTGTGGGGGGTCCGCCTGTGCACCGCCTCCTAATAGTTTTGTACATCGCAGCATAAGCATTAAACAGTCCTGCTAATGTTTTCACACACACCATGCTGGGGGTGGAGGTGGTTGAGAGGAAGAGGAGTGAAGGGGCACTGAAGTATTGTGGTTAGCACAGGACGGTCAACATCAGCTGGAGCCTTTGGAGTTTCCTCCCACAGTCTAATGTTAGGTTAACTGGTTGAGTCCATATCATTATAAGTAAGGTAATACTAGTGCAGACATGTTAATTAAATCAAAATAACATTACCAATTACACGGAAAATGACACCCGTGACCGCACTTTATTGTATCAGTGAATTAACGGAAACACCATTTTTACTTGTTTTACTGCCCCATAAATGCACATCACCTCAAAACTTTAAAACTGTACTGCTACATTACAAAGTAGCACAAAGCAACATACAAAGCATGTCACATAACTCAGCAGAAGCACACTGAGACACCACATACAAGCACAGGGCTCCTCTCTGAAGGTGATGCAAAATGATGCACATCCACACCGGTATTTAATGGGTTCTACTTTAGACTCAGATTTAGTTTAATCATGCTGATAAACTAAATGAACGCGAGTGATCACATACCTAAGGAAGTCTGATTATGAAATCATTACATAAAATAAAAAGGTTTTGTTTAAATTAAAAAAATTAAGTCATGAAAAACGTGGTGATGTGGTGGTTAGCAACTGCTGCCTCACAGCAAAAATGTTCTGTTTGGGGCTTTCACAGGTTCTCTCCGGGCACTCCGGCTTCCGTCACATCCAAAGACTGTGATTAAGTTAATTGGTGTGTTAGCCCTGTAATAGACAGGGCGTGTGCCATCTGTTTCCCTGGGACAGCAGCTTCAGCCCACCCAACATCAAATGGATAAGCAGAAGAAAATTGATGGGCCTATTTCCAAGCAGACATTTGGAGATTTACTGAAACTGCACTTAAACATGACTCCCAACTGTAAAATTGTATGAATTAACTAATGTATGCTTATCTACCCAAAATGTTAGTAATAGGAACACAAATTTTTGGCACACTACCAGGAAAAAAATATATGAAGATGGTTAAGGCCACATTAAGACAAAAATATTACTGATCATTTTGAGAATAAAGCTGAAATTCTATTCCAGAAATTCAAGGGAAAAAGTGGAAATACTATTTTTTAAAAATGTGGAGCTTACAGTTGTTTCAAGGCAAACTGCTGCTATACCCTGTACAAAATGTCTTGTGTAGATGAGTTAGTGAAATCATACCTCAGAGTCAGTTTTAGTTTCAAGGAAACGATTTAAACACAGTGTGGTGATGGGTATAAGGGGGTGAAAAAAGTCAGTGCAGAGCGTTGCATCTGGTCACAAGGGAAAAAACACACAAACATGGATTTGTGCAAAATGAAATGTTGCCAGTGGACAGGATATCGTGCAGTAAAGAGGATGGAGGACAAGACATGATAAGACAGCTGATCAATTTGTGTCGCTGACTCATCTACACGAGGCTGTTTGTACAGGGTATAGCAGCCTTGAAACCACTGCGTCTCCATATTTCGACGTATTTCAGCTTTATTCTCAAAATGACCGATAATAATTGTTTCCTTAATGTGGTTCTTTTTAGTGGAGGAAGCATGTTTCCATAGAAACAAGCTTCCATACTATTTGCCGTTTTTCCGAGCATTTCCACGACTGTCTGGCTCAGTGTTCCACATAAGTGAAGGGAGATAACAACGCTGTCATTACTTTCCTGCCCTGTAGGTGGCGCCTTGTCACAGGGTCGATGAAGTTTAGACGCTTAAAAAAATCTGCTGGCTCCCGAGATCGAGAACGCGCTCTGAGTCGCTTCCCCAGCATGTGTTTACTCCTAAAAGTTCCTGTCACTGTACTAGCAGGACTATGTCTGCTGTGACGCCTCCTGTTCATGGCCGGCATGTTTCTCATCGACGTGAGTTAGAAGAGCTACCAACGGAAAACCGGAGAAGACAGCATATTCCTCCGCCTGTCCAGGGTGGAAGGCAGGCACCACTGCACAGCCAGCGGCACCGGGTAAAGCGGCCGAGCGGCGTTTGTTGAGCTAGCCGTAGCCGCCTTTTTCAGATTTCATGCTAACATTGTGGCAAACAGGGCCGAGTTGTCAAGATCTGGGAGCGGTTTCACCGTGTCGGCTTAGCCTGCCGTCAGGTTTAACTTTGTTTTTGAGCTTTATCTGTTGTCCTAACGTAAACACTTGAGTCAGATTCCATTCAGATGTTATTTTATTCGAAGAATTAAGCAAAGGATCCGCGGACAGGACAGGATATAACTTAAGTCGGGATATTATAGAAGCCATGTAACATCATACAATATGAAGTTAACGATCCCGTCTTCTTGTAAGACGCATTGCTTTGTGTCAGAACACGCGATTGATCATTGAACCCACAGTAAACTTGATCGGTCAAAGTACACCAGTGGCAGTGGGCCCTACTTTAAATATCACAAATCCTCTGTTATTTCTAATTGTTTTCTTTATTATTTCATTTAATAAAGAAAACTGCATCTATTGTGGTGTTATTAGTTCAGCAAGCGAGTTTTTAATCGACTGCTGCCTTATTAATGAGCAACGGTAAATGTTCCAAAGTGGAAAAACAGGCATTTCAAAACTGATCTGCTCATTGTTTTGTGTTTTTGGAAATGTCAGTGTTTTAAAATTTCACTACATCCAACATCTGTCAAAGAAACATTTAATATTTTACAGCATCCACTTTCCAAATGCAAAAGTAAATAGATGATCTCCAATAATCGGAGGCAAACAGCCCTGACAGCAGCGTGTCTGCATGTTTAATGAGAGAGTTATCAGCACTCTGAAGCCTGTGCTGCTGAAAACGGATGTTGTAATGCTGTAGATGTTAATAATAATCCAGTGTCCAACCTAACAGCCCCAGGTCAGTGGCTCAGAGCCCATGTACATTTTATTGGCCTGTAGAAAGAAAAAAAAGCCTTTATTCTTATATTTTTCTAAAGCATTTGCTCTCCGGAGTGTAGGAGGACCCGGTTCCACATTAAACTCTCATCATCACTGCTGCTGTTGATTTTTCTGTCTTCCTGTTGGGAAACTGGTGGGCTCTTTATCCATACTTTCATTATTGCAGGTCTGCTATGGTTGGTGCTATAGAGTGATGCAGTGAAACAATGAATTTTTATAATCGAGTTATTCCAAGTACTCGATGAATCAGCCCTACGTTATGCTTGAGTTGAGTTTTCTTCTATATGAACTATAAATGTGATGCTTTTTCACACAAGTGCCGACGTGGAAATGTAAGCTCGTATGTAGACGTGATACGTGCCAGCAAAGCTTTGATTTGCTTGACAAAGGTCCATTAAATGATCTTACTTTTTGAGCGCAGTCTTGGCCTCAGTAGATGTGAGTGTGTTTGGCAGGGACTAAACCCGGGCCTTGCTGTATTCTTTCACATCTCGTCACCACTGGTTACATCTGTAATGCAGTGTTTCCCACAGAATTATGTAGCATTTGGAGCAGTACCAAAGGCCGGGGCCACCCACAGACACTTTTTAATTCATTATAAATACTACCATATTAATCGTCATAGTAATTTGTATCTTCCTAGCTGAATGGATTCAGCATTAAGCTTTGAACTGTATCTAAAGGGACACTTACTTTATCCTCAACCAAACAAACACGAACACACATAATCGTGTTTGATCAGCGTGTTGGTTTGTCTGTAGAAATGCCACGCTGGAATGAAGTTTTAGCTTGACTTGTCCAATCTTGTCGAGTCTTACTAGTCCTACTGGTTGGTTTGCTATCTTGGGTGAGATGCTGCCTTTATGGAATCTGAACTGTTACAAAAGCGGACAGTATGAGAACTGTGCAGTAGGGCTGGGCCATATTATACCGTTCACGGTAATACCGGTATAATGTTAGGCAACGATAGGAAAATGAAATATCGCGATAGAATGGGAGTAAAACGCGCATGCGCAGTGCCTTTGTTTTCATACGCACATGGCCGATTGTTGAGTGAAACAGATGAACCAGAATTGGTTTGTAAAAATGGTGCAACTTCCGTGATGTGGAACTGGTTTGGTGTTTGTCCGTCAGATACACAACAAAGCACATTTTTTTGCAGAACATGCAAGCGGCCGTTGTTATTGTCGTATTTATCAGACTAAGATGCTCTTAAAGCTGGGAGTAATCTGGGTCCTAAACTCTGTATGCTTCAGGTCAAACAACACTGCAGCATCACTGAGAGTTAAAAACTGTCTAAATTCTTTCATCTTTAATAAAACGATCAGCATTGCTGCTTTACCAGGTGTAACTATAAAGTTTAACTTCCAGGCATCCATGAAAACAAAAGTTATTACATTTAACGGAGTTAGAAGTTAGCAGGAAGCTAGCGGAAGTTAGCTCGCTAGTTTCGCTAGTTACCTAAGCATGATATTGCATGTTCTGACGGAGAGATTTCTGAAAAAAATTAAACGTACAGCTCTGCTATCACTTCCAACATAAATGAAGACAGGAAACTAAACAGCAGTGACGTTTGTAGGGTTACTGAAGTTGGGCTAGCTGGTATATAATGATGTGCTACGTGATCGCTAGTGACACAGCTATGTTAGCATAACATAAACAGTGAAGCTGGAGGACGAACACTAACACTTTTCCACTTATAAAAGTTAACGTGAAGGTTCTTCATGGTTAGAGACAAATGCAATCGCATGGCAGGATGTTGTAAACGGACCAAACTTCAGTCAGGAGAACAACTGAGATAATCCATCCACAATACGAGGTTAGTCATTAATATACTGCAACAACATGGGAATAGAACAGCTGCCAGAGAATTCAACATTAATGAATCAATGGTACAGAAGTGGAGGAAGCAAGAAGAATGAGTTTAATAAAGTTTGATTTATCTGACTGCTTTGTTTCGCTTAATGTGCCTTATAATCCCGTGCACCTTATGGTCCGAAAAATACGTACTGCACACTGCAGTTTAATGTTGCAAAGCACCTCTTTTTAACTTCAGTGGATATTATACATGGTTATGCTCAGGATATGTCAGCCCATTTCTACTGGAAATGCCTTTTGGTTAAACTTTCAGCAAGGAATTTGCATTTGCACTGTTACATTTTTATAAAGCTTTAATGTACATAAAAACCAGCTTCTTGTTTAAGTGAAAATAAATGGAAGGTTGTCTTTTTGCGCTAGTAATGTTGTGGAGTTGTATTTTGTCTCGCATCAATTATATCGTCGGTTATATCGTTATCGCAAATTTTCAAATATATATCGTGATAAATATTTTTGGCCATATCGCCCTGCTCTATCTGTGCAGCACAAATGGAGGCTGTGGAGAGAGACTGAACTACTACACAGTTAACTTCTGCGTAGCTAGGCTTCTAGACTCAGCTTGTAGCATGTTCCATTAGGTGCTAGTACCAGGTACTTTGTATTTTAAGTACCTACTCAGCTGGGGTTGCAAGCAGTCTGAGACGATCCAAAAATGTGACATCAGAGGACTGCATGTCACTGATTGCCTAGTCATTGGCATCACTAGATGAGGCTTTTGTAGGACACAACTTTAGACCACAAAAATGGGAGCTCTACTAAGTTGCCTGACTTCCTTTAAATCATAACAGAGCGTCTTTTTTTTACGCTGCAGCAGAAACTGTTGGAGCACACTGCTGAATAAGAGCAGTTCATTAGTAGATGCACATCCAGTGTGATAGCCACACTGCTCTTTACACCGGTCAGCTCACTTCTCTGGCTAAGCTAAAACAACAGCACATCATTACAGATACAAAGAAGTAACTGAGCGTTATAATTATGTGCTTCTCAAAGCTTCCGCTGTCACTGACTGTAGCTCTCTGCAGATCTCCACAGTGCAAACACATTGTGGCTGTCAGTTTCTCTACATACTGTCTATGTATAGTTTAACATTTTTATTTACGTTTGCTATTCATCTGTTCACAAGTTGAATTATTCTGAGTAAAAGTAACCTCTGAGGTCAAGCGTGCGCATACTCGTTTCTCACAATGTTTCTTTTCATTTTTTTCACTTAGTCGAGTAAGTGGTTGACAAAAATCTTCACAATCAGACATTTTCTTGCCCAATATATTACAGGATGCACTATAAGCTGTCTTACATTTTATACAAGTGTTGCATTAATTTACCTGCCATCTGAATTTAGGAATTCGTAAATATATCTTTGCCTCCACAGACTGATGTCAGCCAGAACCGCCCTCGAACTGATCCCAGTGCAACCTGGTCCCGCACGAATGATCCCAGTACCAGAGAGCCTCTGTTGGACGACTGTGAGCGAATGGGGACTCTGTTTGGTTCGCTCAACAAGTGTCTGCGGGGAATGGGCTTCAGCCAGATGTACTTTGGGGACAAAATAGTGGAGCCGGTCGTGATCGTCTTCTTCTGGCTGCTGCTCTGGTTCCTGGGCATCCAGGCCTTAGGACTGGTGGGAACTCTGTGTATTATCATCATCTACATCCAGAAATAATGTTGATGATTTGAGTGGTGCTTGGTGAAACTCTGGAGAGGCCTGTACTTATACACTCTTGGTGATTTACGATGCTTTATAATTGTGATTGTCCATCTGGAGCCTTCACTTGCTTTCCACAGTTGATGCAAACAATGGAGACTGATTAAAGAAAAACCAGCACAGAGCCAGATTAATGGATTTGATCATCTTGCAGTATTTACCACAGAGGACGCGGCGTCAGTTTGGGGTATTTTTGTGGCTGGTTTGATTGCATGCACGTTTATGTTCATGTACATTTTTGGGAGAAATATTAAATGAATCCCACAAAGATGATTCACTAATGTTTGCAGTGCACAGTTCACTGTGAACTGTGTTGAGTGTAATGCTAACAGTGTCTCATTTTGGGCCGGATGTGGTTGTGATTGTGTGTCTTTATTTGGACAGAGAAGGGCTGATTTATCGAGTGCATGAGTGATGTAGAGGCCTTCATGCTGTGAGCACAGTAGCTGAGCTCTGGCTCATCGTGCTTCACTCAGTCCTCATTCTGCATCCACATGTTTCTGCATCAGGACAGAGGAGGAGAATCCCGATGCATGGAAGTTACAGTGACCTGATGGGCTTCCAGTGTGTCAAAGATCATTCCACAACGACACAATCTGTTGTGTGTTTTCTCAGCCTGCACAAATATGGCGACTGTTTTCTTTCTTTCTGATTTTACAGTTGTTACGAAGCAAATTGAAATGTAATTTCCAATGTGACAATAATGAGACTCGGAGCTGCACGATGTGACGATGTGGAATTTTGACTTTGACGCATACCTGCACCCTCACACAGCCTGCTGAAAACAAACCGTGTTGTGCATGTTTAAGAGTAACGGTAACATGAACAACTTAGCGGTTACGCTCAGATTTCAGGTTTATATGGTGGAATTGTAATAACAGCGCCCTCCTCTGGTTGAGTCCTGCACTACACCTGGCCTGTCAGATTTATGCAGAGAATCGCTGTCAGCCTGCATGACCACACAGTGCATTGTCCGTTCTAACAGAATTTGCCTTGATATCAAATTATCTAAATTGCCATCGAACTTTGAACTCCCATCAGCTCATCTGAAGACTTTATCGGTCATGCTAATAGTGAACACAGTCCGTAATCTCTTAATATCGTGTCATTGCCAGAAACACCTTTAGTCTCCTTTGCAATGATTCTGCAGGATTTTATTAGATGCTTAAAATTATTTGAATAGATTTAAAGTGAATATCATTAATGGAGTGTTGTCGCACCCACACCCACATAGTATGACATGCATGCTGCTGGGAAAAGGAGAGAAAAGAAGAGACTGAAAAGTTTATTTCCGCCTCCAGGATGACCAGAAGAGAACACACAGTTCACCACAATGTAACCAGTTTACTTAAGAGCGAGGTTATCTGAGCACGTAATGATTTAGTGGTTCTGGAGTTTTTTTCTTTGACTTGAAAGTGGAAAAATTAAGCTAGAATGATACACTGGTGAACTTTGAGGACTAATTCCTGCCCCATGCAGCTGATCAGAGCCACTGCATGGTCTCTGTGGGCAGTCGAGTATTTCACCGCAGTCTTCCACTTTGTGTTTGCTAGTGTGGTAGAGTGGCTGTGAACATCAGGCCAGGATGTTGTATGTTCCTAAACTAAATGCGATAATGAAGATATTGTTATTTTGTTAAACACAAGTGTGTGACAGCGTGTTCAGCTGAAATCCTAACATCGCACACTTTAATGTGTGCTGTGCAAACTAATCTGTGACCTCTCGGGTTTCCAAAGAGCTGAATGCTTAAAACAGCAAATGCTGATGTGAGTAAACCCTGGACTCGCCTTTGCTCTTGTCTCAGGTTATTTAAGTATATTTGTGTTCAGACGTGCAGGTGTCTACATTAACTACACTCTAATCATGGGGAATGCATAATCACAGATGGTAAGCTACTGATTTCCAATGGCCAAGCTACATTTGTCCCTCCTTTAAGATGCTGCAATCAGCTATTATCAAAATAAAGTTTTTTCATATGGCAAACATGTCATCTAATGATATTCCAGTGTATTAATAAAATGTTTTTAAAAATATTCTCTGGTTGTACTGTGTGTTTAAAAAAAAAAAAGTTATTCCCAGAAAGTAACAAATTACTCTTTACTTAAAAAAACATAAGTAATCACACCATGTAGAAAGTAATTTGTTACATTAGTTCCATCATATTTTTGTTACTTGGCAACTTAATATGGAAAGTTGTCTGCCATTAAACAGCACAAGCTTACAGTAAGTCTGTAAGACTAGGAAGAGATCAAAGTGCCAGGACATTGTGAGACCACACACTTTGAGCATCGAGCTGCATCTGGTTTGGATGTCACGTCCGCATGTTGTCTTTGCAGGTGCTTGCAGAACTTCAGTGTCATGTTTTGCAACAGTAGGTGTTTCTGCACTGGCACAGTTTATACCTTATTATCACATTGTTTTTCATTTGTGTAATAACTGGCTGTAATACTCACGTCTGCTCTCCTCCAAAGCGGTACATCATTGCCGCTTGAATGAGCTGAGCTCAGGCAGTTGTTGCAAACGTTTACCTTATAAGCCCCAACAGATCATTTCTATGCATCTGTCATTCAGATTATTAGTACAGCAATGTTTTATATATTTTAAATCTGTATGCAACAGTCTGTACTAGTCATCAGGGTAGACAGTCGGATCCATTCTACAAGTGAAACGTTGTTCTTCACTTTTCTGTGTGTGAGCCCACAACTACAGATTACATGTATTCACAGTGGATGGTAATCAGCTCGTGCTAAGCTGTCAGCGCGACATACAAATAAACTATAATATAAATCTCAAATATTTATACACTTATGGCAAATTGAAGTAAATGTAAATGTAGGTGGTATTTCTGTCAAATGTACTGCTTATTTTTCATAACTGCAACACTCTGAATACAGTAGTTCCCTCGCTAGGTTCACTTCTCGCGGCCTCGCTGTTTCGCAGATTTTTTTGGGGGGGAAATGTGAACACTGTGTCATTGGTTTGGCTGTCAAACATCTAATACACCATGGATCAGCCTTCGCCTAGTCTCCCTGATGTGCACTTCTTCTGTTGCAACACAGTATTTTATTCTCTTTTGTATAGTATGTTATTCTACTTTATCTTCTATTCTATTGTTCTTTTCTTAATTGTTGCTGCTTTTAACTTTAACTGTCCACTTCCTGCCATGACCAAACAAATTTCCCAGGTGTGGGACTAATAAAGGTTTATCTTATCCCATCACATCAGAGGAGTCACCCCGTGGTATTCTGAAGATAAGTAAAGACAATAGATATAAACACAGAAGCAGCACAGATTCCTTTTGGCACAACACCGGCTTTCACGTCCTCGGGGGACGTAGCCCTTGTACCTTTTTGACTTTGCTGTGTGGGTATGTGTGTCAGTGATTTGAGTGTAATATTCCCAAATTTGTGTGCATTTCATTTCCAATACCAGTTTTGCCTTTTTGATGATACGAAATGTTCTTTTTGTCTCAGCTTTTGTTGCTTTGCTGTAGTTTCTCTTCACACACATGCCCACAAAGTTATGGTTGATGTGATACGATTTACAGGAGCGTAAAATCTTCACGTATTAGTCAGATCTGTTAGCGTATTTACCTACCATCCAAAATGTGGTTACTGTGGATGAATCCTTACTTGCATTAACTGTAAGATGAGAAAACATAAACGCACTCAGGTCTGCTGTAGCTGCATTCTTCTAAACAGTTGGTGTGGGTATGTGCAAAAGCTCAGTATACAAATGAAGAATCACAACAGGAAACAGTCTTTTTGAGGATTTTTCCACATTTCCAGATGCAGCAACCTTCCTGTTTGTCATCTGACAACCTGAGAGAAGAACAAGCTTCCCACCTGCACTGCCGGGTTACAGGACGTGTCAGTCAAAATGATACCAAAGATCTGCGCAAAATCATTTTCTGACACCTTTATTCATTTACAAAGAAACAGCAACATATGTTGCAGCGTATACAGATGACTGTGAGCAAAATGAAAGTGCATCGTCACACAGATCGACCTGCAGTAACACAGGTGTACACTTTGATATCAGGTAAATGTTTGAGACCAATAAAAGTTGAATCTCATGGTAACAAAGATCAATAGTCAGAACACAAAGATAACATTCAAAGTTTTAGTTTTAAATTATGTATATGCAGATAAACATACTGAATACACTAACATTTACAAGCAATGTACAGTATATACAGTGCACTTTCACCTCCACAAACCTGTGAAGGCTGAAATATTCAACAGGAGTCAACATACAAACCTTTTCAAGTATATCTGTCGGAGCGATTTTCCTCTGGAGAAATTCACCACCAATCAAAATTTAAAATAAACATTAAAAGCAGCGACCTGTTAACGCTTTAGAAACAGCTGCTCAGCTCCAGTGGAACGATCACATCTTCTACCACACTTGACAAAGCAGTAGTGCATACACTTTACTGTACACGCCAGACTTCTGGGACCACATCATTGTCATGTCAGACCTGTAGACACTTCACATGAGAACTGAAGCTGAGCGTGAATGAATTACTGAGCTTATATTTCATGAGTTAAAGAAATTACCAAACTACGTTTGGCATTTTGAGTCCGACTCCTCACTGACTGAGATTTTGAACTAAAAATAAACAGACAATTTCAAGACATCACACTGGACAGGGGCAAGCTGCTGTGACTTTTTTTCAAGAGTTATTTATTGAACTCCTGATAAATCCAGCTCAGTGTCCATTGCCAGCCTCCAAGAGGATGCGGCTGGGCTCAGTGAATTTGGCTGTGACGATGTAAAACAGAGCGGGTCCTGGCACGAGGGCCAACAGCGGCAGGTCCTGTTCCAGCTTGTCCAGTCGGGAGATCGAGATGATGCCGTAAGCATGCAGCAGCCAGTGGCTGAACAGGACGATGAGACGCTTCTTCTTGGCAACCAGATTCTTAAAAGACTGTGTTCAAAGGAGATGGGTTATGGTAAGTGGACAGAGAAGAGAAATAACCCATACACATATGTCAGCTTCCAAACGCAAACAAACATGTGCAGTAATGACAGCAAACCAGACAGAGTCCTGAACATACATGCATACGTGTGTGTGTGTTCACAAGTTATCATGTTCGTGTGGGGTCTGTCTACACTGCCTGCCCGCTGAGGGGGCAACAATACCCCATCAGCCTTTTACAGGTAAGGGGTTTAAAAAAAACACAACAACAACAACAACAACCATCTACAGTCTAGAGTAGTTCCTAATTCCTAAATGGTTAGTGCCCACACAATTAGTTTGGAGGAGTCATTTTGCTGTTGTAACTTTATACAAGTCGATGAATAAACACTGTAAAGAAGTATAATTAGTATCCAACCTCATATCAAATCGAAGAACTTCTTGATCACAATTGTAAAGTTAAACTGGGAAATAAGAAATGCCCACACCGCAGTGACTGTAGTTACCTGTATCTCAGAGGCAGACATGTAAACAGCCAACGTGACAAGAGACAGGACCAGGATGATGTAGGGGAATGCATAGTCTGAAACAATAACACAGTCGTCTTTACTCAGAGTTATTTAAACAAAAAGGGCATTAGTCATAGTCTTATGAAAGCTGTAAAACAAAAATGATACCACAGTGTGAACTAAGAAGCAGAGTCCCACAGGTACTCACAGAGCAGTCCTCCTCCTATAGCCTGCAGCACAGTGAGGATCGGGAAGAAGTACAGAGCAGCATAGATGCTCTTAAAACGGTCGGATTTGCCCAAACCACACGCCATCTTCTTCACCAACAGAGGACGCAGCATCATCATTAGTATCAAGCAAAATGCATAGTAGATCAGCACGATCGTGTAGCTGAGAAAAAGGACATTGAGGAGTTCGTGTTACGCTGATGCAACAGATACAGAATGAATGACAAGCCTGAGGTGACCTCCCACCAGCCTATGCACCAGTTCAGAAGGAAACTGCACAAGAGTTAAAAAAGAGAATAAAGAATCAGAAGCATGTTGATCGGTTTACTCATTCAGCAGGTGTCTGTTCAGCTTGTCTAATAAACAAAGTAGCCTCGATCATTCGTCAGTGTGAGGCTACTCTCCTGCTGCTTCATATCGAATGAACCTCCCAGTGTTTCTCCTGTCAGCACGCTGCTGCCAGCCTCCACCACCCAGCATCAATGTGTCCACCTGTCATGATCTGCAGTGTAACAGGAGGAAGAACTCATCTGACTGAAACACTAAGATCCAATAAGTAACCTCAATCTTTTGAATAAAGACTGGGTATGCTGGTCTCTCCTCAGCTTGCTGCCTGTACGTTGAGGTTTTTTCCCCAGTTGATAACAGGGTTTGTTCCCTGTGCCTCAGGGTCAGGGAACAGTTCCTGACGAGCGACAGTTCAGAGTACCCAGCCTTCTTAAAGTTGCTGGTGTTTGAGAGCGCTCCGTGTCTCTGCTGTCACTCATGTAGGCATCAACAGTGAGGCTGAAGGCACTGACTGGGAGGAACCACCTGCTTGACCTGAACCGTGTTCTGCTGTCCATAACTAAGCTTTTTCTTATTTAACGTATAATTGTATTTTCTTTTTTTACATTTTGCCCTAAGACACAGAGCTCAGTGTCCCACAGTATGGCCTTGATGCCCTGCTGCAAACACACCTTTGTCCTCTTCTGTGGAGTGCTGGGAATTATTGTTTTATGGTTAATTGTAGAATTTGGCAAAATGATTACTGGTAATACTCACAGTGGGTACACAGCTTCCTGAGTGCAGTGTAATGTGTTGACATAGTCTGGACTTGGGTTGTACAGCATCGTGTACCAGTCTGAAAGCATTTGCACTCGACAAGAACGGATAGTGAGCATTCCCACAGGCTCTGTGACCAGCAGAGTGACCACAGCTGACATACTGCACTCCAACATGGCGGTCACATGTTGGAGTAAAGCACTGGAACTACAAAGGAAGAGCATGAGATCAAATGACAGAAAGAAAACACACTGTCCTCACAGACAAGAGCACTAAAGGGATTCTGTGCTTGGAACAAATACTCCCTAAGTTAGACATGTTTCATATAGCACCCCAACCAATCACAGCAGATGGCCCCGCCCCTCCCTGAGCCTGGTTCTGCTGGAGTTTTTCCTTCCCACTGTCGCCAAACGACTTGCTCATAAGGGGTCATATGATTGTTGGGTTTTCTCTGTATGTATTATTGTAGGGTCGACCTTACAAGATAAAGTGCCTTGAGGCACTGAAATGAAGCCAAAAATTGTCACACTACAGGAAAACCTTAAAGACATAAAGCCCTGGGTAACTAGTTATTTTCTACTTCCAAATTCAGACAAATCAATGTTCTGAACAAGACCTTCAAAATTAGACATTTATGAGTGATGCTGAAAAATTAGTTCATACCGCAACTTAACAGCAGCACAATTTGAATTCCTTATTATTCAGCTATCAAACACTAATTAGACTCAAAATGCCACAGTGACTGAAACGGGGGGGGTTGCACACGTGTTGAAGAACAAAACAAATAGTAATATTAGACAAAAACAACCCAAGTAAGTACAAAATGTGCTGAGGGCAAAACCTTCTCCAAACCTACTGTATATGGTCTTATTTAAGAGTAATTGCCTCCTAAACCTACTAACTAGACCCTTAGAAGCAAGAACTGCAATCAAGCATTTACAATAACTGGCAATGAGTCTGTCACGTAACTAGAAGCTCATTTTTCTTTACAAAACTGTTTTAATTCAGCTACACTGCAGGGTTTTTCAGCGTGAATGACCTGTTTAAGGTCAAAGCTGTTTATTTTAAGCCCTGACACTGACTACACCAGTCCAAAACCTTCATTTTTTTATTTTTAAGCCATTAACAGGTGGACGTGGGGGTTTGTTACTGATCATTGTTCAAGTGTGTTTGAGCTTCTCCTCCATGATTTTCTGGTAGAGCGCAGAATTGACTCCATCAGTTACAGGAAGTCAACCAGGTCCTGAAGCAGCAAACAGCCCCAGAACAAACTGACACCACCATGTTTTACTGCTGCCATGTGTTGTTTTTATGAAATGCTATGTTAGTTTTACAACAGATGTAATGTGACTTCAGATCTCTTCTTGTCAGTGCACAGCATGCTTTTGCTTTGTCCAAAGTCTCTGGTGCAGGGGGCAATTACTTTTCCTACATAGTACCCTGAAAAATGCATTTTATATTTACTTGATTTATCTTTGTCTAATATTAAAGTTAGTCGTAGTTCCCTAGATATAGCCAAGCTATACCATTCAACATTATACTGTGACAGGAATAGAAAAAAGTGTAGTTCAACATGAAATCCTGAGAACTTGAATTTGTTTGAAAACATAATAGTAAGGTCTCCACTACTGAAGGCTTGTAGAAAGATAGGGGGCTGAAATTTAAGGGATGGCAATCAAGAACCTTGTAATTATCAGTCTGCTCGTCTGTGGATTCTGCTTGTCGTTTCCACTTACACTACAGTCAGCTGGAGGAGGGAAATAGTGGAACAGTCTGCAGCGTAGATGTGGACGTTATTTTTGTTGTTATTGCACAAAAGGACGACAGCATGTTAGTAAAGTTCAAACTGCATCCAGAACAGAAACAACTGCATTGTACTGCTAACAGAACATCACAGACAACGCTAAGCTAGCCAGAGCGATATTAAAGCTGAGTAAATGCTGACCGGGCGGGGGCGGGGTCACGTCAGCCCCGTGTTCATTTTTATTTGAAGTGTTTTCTATTTATTGTTTCATTATGACTTTCTTATAATGCTACAGTTATAAGACGGAGTGTTTTTGTCATAAGCCGTACTGCTGCCACAGATTAACCTTTCAGGTGCGTCTGGTATTAAACATAATCTAATGTTAGGCCTGTGTGCAGGCTTAAACTGCTTATTTGCCTTTTTTCAGTTACATGTTTTCATAGAAGCAAAGGTTAGAACAGCAGAAGTCTGAATGTTATAATTCAAATTTGGGACTATTTTATTTCACTTAATAGAAAAAGTACATTACTGCTACAGTTTACATATTCTTTACATTTGCTATTTTATATAGTAATATTTTATGTTTGGCCTTTAGAGATGTGTTTACAATATTAATTACACATTAGACCAGAAGTGCCACTGAGTGCTCATTATATAAACTCTTCATTAAGTTTGAAGTTATGCAATATGACTTATGGACATGATCACTTTGGTCACTTCACACAGAAGTAACTTCCTCTGTACAGCAGCAGCTTTGGAACTCAGTCTCACCTCTTCTTTCCAGAGTACCATTCAATAAAGAACCAGTGCAACACAAGAGGCAACATGGCCATAAACCCCAGATAGAGCCAGTCGTAGATCTCAGGAGACTCGATGCAGCGCTCACACACTTTCTGCATGTTGGCCCGCTCTCCTCGAGGACAAACCTGCCAAAACACATTATTGTGAGTACAATCTGAATCTCATCCAAATCCACTCTTAAAGCTGTCTTTCATTTAATTGCGCTGCTACATTCATTCAAATCCACCATTCAATGCTTTTTTAATACTTTGAATACAGAACACAACAACTGAACGTTACAACTTAACAATTACAGTTACTGCTTTGTGCTTACAACATATAAACGTAGTAAAATTAAAAACGTGATGACCTCAGATTACAGGAACAAAAGTCCAGACAGTGACTATAAAAACGACTGACCAGGAACAGTCGCAGGTGTCACAGCTGGTTTATGTAACGCTTTCTTTGGTGTGTGGGGAGACGTTGACATGCACTCTTCATTTTGCAGCGGATGACTTTCAGCTGGTGGAATAATTTCGTGGTACTGCTGCCTTTTGCTGCAATAGTTTTACAGCATGTTTTGCAAATTTCTGCATTTCGTTCTGCATCATCCTTGTGAAAACGAGTCAACAGCGAGTCTCGTTCACTCGCTCGTCTGTCACCATATTTTTCCCTAACTGGTAGAATATAAAGACGCATGCTCAGCACAGTGCGCCAGGTGGAAAATTTTCCAGTTGGGAGGGGGGATTAATGATGCATTTGCAGCGTGTGGGAGGAAAAAATGATTCATTATCTATTTTACACACGGTTATTGTAACTGAAAATAAGAACACTGGTAGAGTAATGAGCATTTCTTAAGTGCTGGCTAGTTATGACCTTTCTAAGTGGAGACGGCATGTTCTCTCTGTGCCTGTGAGAGTTTGGCTTCTCCAGCTTCCTGCCACATGTCCATTCATGTCTCTGCACTGTTCCTACAATTAGTGATAGTCCAGGCTGTGATAGGCTCTACTGGCTCACAACTCGAACAAGCAGGACGAGCACTTCCGAATTTCCTCAGAACAGTCTGCTACACCACAATGACTGGATCTCAATATGGAAACCTGAATTATTATGAGCCGCGCTCTCTTTTATGATGCAAGGCGCAAAGTTAGACATACATCCACGTACTGTCTATCCAACAGCACATCAGCAACAACTAATGTTTAGTACTCACACCACATTCTCCCTCCACTGAGCCGTTGACCATCATCCTGCCACAGTACAGCCCTGGACATGTTGAACTCACGGCCACAGCTGCAAGCATACAAAACCATTGTGAAGTGTGCAAGCATCAATACTATAGTACAGTATTTTCAAACAATCAGGATGCTTGAAACTTAAAAATTGAGCTGTAAACTTTCTTTTAGCTTGGTGGTGGTATAAAGTTCATTTAAAACAGGCATGTCCAAAAAGTCTGGCCCGGGGACCAATCATGGCCCTTTCTGCCTACCTTAAAATGTATAATTTGTGGCCCACCGCCACAAACAGGATTAATAAAGTGTAATTTCTCTGTTCCTCATGTTGTCAGCAACATGAGATGTAACCAGTGAGTGTATACACCAACACAATACACACAATGGTAAGTCTCTTTAAAAATTAACCTGAGATTCAGCAGCTTTATCCCACACAGCCTGATCTTTGTGTTCATTTACTCTCCATATGCAAATGAAAAGTAGTTTTATTTTGTAATTCTTGTGTTATTGAAAATATTTTGTTATGATTTTTGAAAGAATAATGATTATATCTCAAAAACAAAAGATTGAGTAAGATTGTTGGTCCTGGGTGACAGACTGGATGATGATGGCAGTGCAGAAGATGACGGGCAGCTCCTGTGACAGGTCGAACTTCCTGAGTTGCCGCAGGAAGTTCAACCTGTTGGGCCTTCTTCCAGACACAGTGTATGTGAAGAATATTGTACTTCCCATGAAAAGATGGATCCTAGGAATCTAAGGCAATCCACAGTGGGTGCACAGTACTGTTGAAGATGGCGAGAGTAGAGGGGGGGTCTCTAAAGGTCCACTGTCATCTCCACAGTCTTGAGCAGGTTCAGATCCAAGTGGTTCTTACTGTGTTGTGTGTATGTGACTTCAGGTCATCATACAGCCCACTCCAAAGTCAAAGGTAAATCCCACAGAGCACCACTGCACCTCCAATCAGAATCATGGTTAGGTTGTCTGCGTCGATGAAAACCAGGGAAAATATACGTAGAGAGGACCGTTTAAGAGTTCCTCTCTGGTAAAATGATGGGAGGATAACAGCAAAAGACGGAGCAAAAAACACAGGAACATGCAAAGCATGAGAACACAAAGCATCTCGGATCATCTACTGAGCAGATGCACCTGTGGTATCAATTTCAAAAATCCAAGATGCCGTCTTTCTTGAGTTATCATACTCACAAGATTTTTTAATAAAGTTTGACATCTGACCTTGAGATCACTAAGATTTCAACTCATGTGAGATTTTCAATGTTAGACCTATGGTATGAATTTGAACATTTCTTCAGTTATCACATCCGCAAACTTGGGTGTCGACCCTGGCCCAGCAGGGGGATAAAGATACCCTGTCAGCTTTTTACAGCTGAGGGGTAAAGAGTAGAGGGTTAAAAAAATAGCAGGCCTACAAACAAAGTCTTTTTCTTAAGAAATGGAAAAAAAATTCTGCAGGACGCAGAACCTGAGAGAGCATCTGACCCTTCAATCGATCCCTCTCTCGTTTGCTGAAGCCGGATCAGAAATGGTCACAGCAGAGGGTTTGCTGTCATGAAGCAATGTTTAAGGAAAGGAAACAGGAAGAAAAGGTAGACCAAATTACACAAGAACTGAACTTTAAAAACAAGGAGCGACATGTCTATTGGAGTGATGACTCTAAAATCTTTGGTTCAAACTTGTACATAGAAAGCGTGTATAGAGCTTAATGACTGATTGTCTACTATAAAACACAACGGATGCGCTCTCCAGCCAGTGGTGTTGGAGAGGTTGTCAAAATGAATGTAATTATAAACACAGACATTACTGTCAGGCATCTCTCTCCTCTCGGTTTCAGTGGGATAACTGCGCGTCTTATTTCTGAGTTAAGCCTCCCATGCAACACAGCAGCAGAGACGGGACACAACAACAAGACCCCCCACTCACACGTACACGTTGCGTGAGCTTGAGATTAACACATATCCACTCCAGTTCTTAGGAAAACTGTACACACGCTACTGCAGTGTATGTAACCGGCATGCAATATTTCTGTCACTTAGATAAGCTTCGAAGGCCGGGCGGTTGTTAGCTAAACTTCCAAGCTCACAGCTAAGGCTAACTTCCACATTTTATAAAAATACATATTATGAGAAACGCCGCAAAGTCTCTCAACACCTTAGGTATCATGTGAGGGTAAAAGGCGACCTCAACTTACCCATTTTGAGAACGATATGACTTGTAAATCTGCCTTTTAAAACCACAGCTTAATCGTGTTTGTTTGGGACTGCTGTAACCGGAAGTGGACCAGAACACTTCTCTTGTTTAGCCGACTGGTCTCCGCGTAGTGCTGCCCTCTGCCGTCTGTCGCTTTTCACTCCTTCTTGACATCTGTGGGGTTTTGTGACATTTGTGTTATTGGCACCTTCTGAGCTGCACCGGAATACTCAAAAACATCTGTGCTTTTTCTGTTTCTTATTTTTTAAGTGGAGCAGGTGGAGGAGCCTCAATATTAATTGCCATGGTTAATTCAGTAAGATATAAGCAGATGTCTCATAAGCTAAGCTAACTGACTTCATTACTAAATATATTTGTTACTGCGTTTATGCACTTATCACTTGAATCTCATAGCTCGTCAAAACAGTTTGTACTTTTGTGAGTCAGAACTTTAGATCTCTTGCATTCCTGAATACTGTCAATCATTTAATTCGTTTTTACTATCAAATGACTTCAATCTATGTATGAGGGAGCAACGCCAGTAACACATTGTCAAAGTAAATGGGGTCTTTTGCACAGGTCAGTTTGTGTTGTGAAAAAAGGCATAACTGTTTTGAGGACATTCATTACAGTGATAAGCATCACTTTTCTGTGAGAACTGTGCCATAGTGATTGAGAAAAACTGTAATCTACCAGAATTTTCCCACACAACCATCTTTAGGGTTTACAGACACTGGCTTAAAAAAGAGAGATGCAGAGACTGGCAGTTCTCTGAGTGAAAATACCTTGTTGATGTCCGAGGTCAGAGGCTGACAGGAAGGCAACACTAACTCAATCAACCACTAGTTACAAAAGAGAGAAGAACATCTATAAACGCACAACACATGGGCTACAACAGCAGAAGACCACAAGAGGTGTCACTCCTTTAGCCAGGTCCAGAAAACTGAGGCTACAGTTCACAATGACTCACTGAAACTGAACAAGAAAAGATGCTGTACTCCAGTGACCTCCACAGTCCAGTAGAGCACCATTGGGATGAGCAGACAACAAATCTGACAAACAGTGAATCAGAATCAGAAAGGGTTTTATTGCCAAATGTTGAGCAGGTTTACAACATTAGGAAATCGCTGCGGTGCTTCAGTGCAAACATACTGTCATAAATTACGCTTAAATAGACATGAAAATAAGAATGAGAATAAGAATTAAAAGTGCTACGTAGATAGATATATACATGATATATACATGAGTGCAGGTGGTGATCAGTGCCAAACATGAAATGATGCAGTGACACAGCGTAGGGTCATGTGTTAGGGGTGGGAACAGTCATATGGTTATTGTTCATGTGTCCAACAGCAGAGGGGAAGAAACTGTTCTTATGGCGAGAGGTTCTGGTGCGAATGGACCGGAGCCTCCTGCCTGAGGGGAGCCGGTGCTGATGGTCCGGGAGTCCGAGACATTCTTTCCCAGCCTCACATGCTGCTTCCTGTCCGTCAGGAAGTCAGTGATCCACTGGCAGATGGGATCAGGCACATTCATCTGGGAAAGCTTGTCTCGGAGATGGTCTGGAAGGATGGTGTTGAAGGCAGAGCTGAAGTCCACAAACAGGATCCTGGCGTAGGTTCCTGGGGAGTCCAGATGCTGCAGGATGAAGTGTAGGGCCATGTTGATGGCGTCGTCTACAGACCTGTTGGCTCTATATGCAAACTGCAGGGGGTCCAGGAGGGGGCCGTGAGGGTCCTGAGATGGGAGAGAACCAGGCGCTCAAAAGACTTCATGACCACAGATGTCAGAGCCACGGGTCTGTAGTCATTTAGTCCAGTGCTCCTAGGTTTCTTGGGGACAGGGATTATGGTAGAGGACTTGAAGCAGGCGGGCACATGACAGGCCTGCAGTGAGGAGTTGAAAATGCCAGAAAACACTGGGGCCAGCTCGTTTGCACAGTGTCTGAGGGTGGCAGGAGACACACCGTCTGGGCCGGGAGCTTTCCGAGCATTCAGACTCCTAAACTGCTTCCTCACATCTGCTTCATGAATATGAAGAGTTGTGGTGGGAGGAGGTGGTGTGAAATCCTCTTTTGTGTGGGTGAGGAGGGGGTGTTGTAGGTGAAGTGTTTGAAGGTGGTGATGGCTCTATGTAGGGGGGAGAGGTGGGGGAATGAGTGTCCAAAGTGTCTCTATTGTTGGGGCCGTTGGAGGTGTGAAGGCTGCCTGATGGCTCGTCTAAACGGCAGTAGAAGTCATTGAGGGTGTTGGCCAAGAGCAAGTCATCAGTGGAGTGGGGGGTTTTAGGTTTGTAGTTTGTGATATTCCTAAAACCTTTCCACACAGAGGCCGAGTCATTCTCTGAGATCTGCTGCTGCATCTTCTCAGAGTGCTGATGTTTGGCAACGTCCACTTCTTTAGTGAACCTGTACTTGGCCTCTCTGTAGCAGTCCCTGTCTCCGCTTCTGAACGCCTTTCTCTTTTCCAGCCACAGCTTTTTGAGTTTAGGAGTAAACCAGGGTTTGTCATTGTTATAACTCACCCTGGTGCGTGATGGCACAATGCTGTCCTCACAGAAGTGGATATAGGAGGTGACAGTGTCCGTAAACTCGTCCAAGCTGTTAGAAGCAGCCTTCATTGTGTCCCCGTCTGTAGACTCCAAACACGTGCGAAGCTCCTCCACAGCCTCGTTGCTCCACAGTTTTTTGGTCCTCACGACAGGTTTGGAGAGCTTCAGCCTCTGTCTGTACGCGGGGATTAGGTGGATCATGACGTGGTCAGAAAGTCCGAGTGAAGCGCGGGGCACCGCACGATAGGCCCCGCTGATCGTGCTGTAGCAGTGGTCCAATGTCCTCTCCTCTCCTGTGATGCTGTTGTGTTAATATGGAACAAAATCTCTAAGGAATGATTCCAGCAACAAGCTGAAATTCTGCAAAGACAAACTACAGCAGCTCTGAAGGCAAAATGCGGTGTAAGTGTACCTAATAAAGTGGTTGATGGATGCACACATTACTGCAGTGTATGCAACTGGCATACAGTATTACTCTCACTTAGTTAAGCTTCACTTATTATTGCTCTTTTGTACATATTTGAGTCTGAAGTAAAAGCTAATTCAGTGCTGGACAGTATTCAGGAAAGTGACAGATGAAATGTCATCAACAGAACCAAAGTTTCTTTAGCACTGAAGCACGTGTAGAAAAATTAGCTGTGTAAGAAAGGCTAGTGTTGTGGGGACATGTGTCACTGATCTGACAATTGCAGTAAGAGTAGAGCAGAATCCCCAAAAGTTGATTCTGTTCATCTGGACGTAGCGTTTTGAACAGATGAACACAATCAACTTTCGGGGATTTGCTTACATGGATGATTGAGCATGCATCAAGTAGAGCAGAATGACTTTTCTGATACGAGATTTGCACCCAAGATATAGAGAGAAACTGGTAATCTCAAAGTGAACCACCAACTTTCTGATTGGTAAACGACCCACTCTACCCCTTGTGCCAGCAGCCATACTAAACAGATTACGAATGCTGCGGAGAACAGAAAGGAGTCAGAGGGCACAGCAGCGGCAACAACACCTTGGCCTGATACATCCTAGATTCATGATATAAATTGGAGGTTTCATCAAATTCGATCCACATGGTGGAACCCACGATGTCGCTGCTCCTGTGGGGGAAGATGACGCAGCTACATAGAACAGGACAGCAGGTCAGAGTAACCTCCCACACCTCTACAATGGTGCTGGGAGGCTCTGGACAGCCCTGAAGCAAGTCTTCAGGTGTTGTAGCTCTCAGTTGAGTCCCTCACCCTCTCCCGCTTCTCGGTCGAGTTTCCTGGATCTGAAACTGGTGAGTAAGCACTGGTTTCCTGTACATCTCTCCACCCCTCTATATTCTTCCACTGGGTTTGTTGTTTGTAGACTAGCCTATACCTAAAGATACAGTGAAGATTAGACTATGAAATAAGACGTTAAGTTTTGTATTCAATTGAGTACACAGATAAACTATATGAAAACACCACTGTGTGTTGTAACCGAAACAGGAAGTGGTACTGCACCGCAGAGAGCCAACACCAGTTCCTCATCTCCAAAGCAACCTCCGTCTCACCTGGACTCCAGCCCTTTGGCCCCTCCTCCATCCGTGTCTGTGGGAGGTCCGATGACACCTCTGGATTTGATCATTCGTTTTTATTCATCTCTGGCTCTCTTTCACTGTCCTGTCCACACACCCCAAACCAGTCGAAGCAATGGCCTCCCCACCCAGAGCCTGGTTCTGCCAGAGGTTTCTTCCTGTTAAATGGGAGCTTTTTCTTCCCACTGTTTCCAAAACGCATCCTCATAGGTGGTCATATGATTGTTAAGGTTTTCTCTGTATTATTGTAGGGTCTTTACCTTACAATATAAAGCGCCTTGAGGTACAAATGGGATTTGAGTAGTACCCAGTAGTTCAACCTTTAGTTGAATTGTTAGTCTGCATGCATATCGATCCCTCTTGATCGACTGGTTCATTTGCACTTGTGCTACAATCAGTGGATTTCAGTTTGTGTGCCGGAGAAAGAAAAGATATGGATATTACTTGTATTTTATTTTTAAATGACGAAAGGTAAAATGAGGTAGGTAATTGCGAGACAGTGTGTTTCAGCTATTTTATCAAGTAATTTTAAGAAAAGTCTTCTGTGTAATATGTGTAATATATTACTTGTTTTGACTAACGACCCCAAGAGTGTTCACAACAAAGATGGGAAATACCTCGCACATGCACAAACATTTGACATGCATACAATTTATTTGCAGAATATAATGTCTTTGATATGTTGCTGCTTAGAGTGAAACCAATAAGAAACCAGTAAAACCAGCAGGTTTAGGAACAGCTTCTTCCCCACAGCTGTCACCGTACTGAACTCTGCTGAACCTTTCCATCCACACTCACTTAACCCTTCTACACTCCTCCTCCCCCCATCCCTCCCAGTGACCATGATCAGGACTGTCATTCATTCTCAACATTCACCATATGCTCACATTGGTTACTGCTATAGTTTAGGACACTGACATAACATAGTCTCTGTTATAGTGCTCACACTGTTCACTATTATAGTCTGTCAGAGCTCTGTGCTTCCACTGCTGTAGAGCTCTGAACAGCAATATAGAACATCTGTATGCTATAGAGATCATCTGTATATACATATACAACATTACATCTGTACATTTGTCTGCAGTTCATCTGTATATTTGGTCTCTACTTAACTTATCTGTATATAATATGCTCCTATTGCACTTACTGCTTAGATGCAAACTGTATTTCTTACCCTGTATTTATACATGTGAAATAACAGTAAAGTTGAATCCTGATTGTTTTTGTGATTTGGCACTATATAAATAAAACAAAACTGATATGAATTCAAATAAACTAAATTTTGAATTGAATTAATTCATATATAGTGTAAAGGACCATGCACCCAGCGAGCAGAAAGGCCATGACACACACGCAAGAAAGCGAACAACACCAACAAAAACAGGGAAATGGGCAGCAGCAGCAGAAGCATTCAGGGAGATGAGTTTCAGGGTGCTGTCTCAGTGCAATTTCCAGCCTGAATCCTCCTGTGGTTCTTGTGCTGACAGAGTTAGAAGAGAGAAAAGACAGAAAGTGCTGCCCACACCTGTACAAGCTTGGTATAGGTAAGTGCATCAGGACGTGAGGCGTGGTTGATGATATTTGACAAGTGTCATCAGTTACTCTGAAACTGTGTAATCAATATATACTAATATTGTAATAGTATATTGTCAGATTAGTGTAGTACAGTTGTTTAAAACTGTAAGAGAAAACAGATGCTAGTAATCATCAGGACCACAAAAGCACTGTTAACAAAACTTCCTACATTTGCTCTTCTAATCTTTATTTATAGCTGCATGTCACAAAAATACAGTTTTCCCCCTGATTGTTGTGCCGTTATACATACCAGTGTACAACAGATCAGACAGCTACATAATGTCTTACTTAGCTAGTATTTCGCTTGGTCAGCCCAGTAAAACTAAGTTTTGAAGCCCTTATTTCTGATTTAATATTGTTGGTATTCCTGGTTAATAATATGTTTCTAACCTGTCTTCTGTTTAAAACACTACTAATTTTCTGTGGATAATCCACTACTATGTTTTCATTCACAAATTCATATGATCTAAGTGTGCGGATAACATACAGTGTCATTCTTCAAAAACATCTAACCTTTTACACGTGCATGTCTAACTTATGCGCCGATATGGGCGCGGCTAGCGCATTTTGCCGACTTCCGGGAACTAATGCGAGGAATTAACCATGATGACGCGAGCCTCCCTGTGTAGCTGCGGAAAGGGGGTGGGGGGGGTTCATAAAGCCTGGTTGGTTGGCAGTTACAACATGGCAGGTCAGCGGACCAACAGCCTTTGAGGAAGACAGGAAAACCCTCCCACCAAGACTCTGGATGGTGCGTTTGGGTGAAGCAAAGCAATTCAGTAACAAAGTCTTTTAATGGTTTAGTAAGCGGTTTTCTCTTACTTGCTGTTGCATGTTCTGATCATGCTCTGGAGTTTAGTTTAGTTACAGTTTTTGTTTTTATGAGTATTTGCTTTATTGCTTTAATCATAGTTCATTGCTATAATTCTGAAGTAAATATTCTTGGTAGAATTTCAGCCGCTCAGCCGCACAGGCTGCCATTTTTATACGTTTTCTATGTTTCTATGCACTGTGTTTATCTCCCAACACTTATGTTACTATGCAGCCACGGTGATTTATATACATCGAAAATATGGTGAGACACTGTCAAGGACATCTTAACAATGTGCTATTTTAAATTTATTTTCTTTTAACCCATTTTAAGTATGTTTTTCTTTGTTAAACTGTACATTTAATAAATGTAAAGGCTTGGATAAAAGTCATTTGTTTGAGAAAAAAAACACATTTTGTGTCTGTGTCACTGGGTTCTTTGTAATTAATACTTTTCTATACAGCAAATAATAACAAATGAGAAAAACGTAGGTAAAAATAATAATAAGTTGTTGCCCCCTTTGAACCAGTAACAGCAATAGAATCAGTGGACCAAAAACTAGACAGACAGATACTTTATTGAGCCCACTGCTGTTACAGCAGCGTGATAAAGAGTAAAAATAGTAAAGTCTACAATGAACAACAAATAAATAACACAGTTAAAATAAAAGTGCCACATGCTCCTGGTAAGAACCTTATACGATGAGATTTATAGGAATGATAAAAAACAAAGAAATGTAAAAATGAAGTTAGTTAAAAGCAGTAAAAGTAAGACTAGCATTGTGTAAATGATGCAAAGTGCACTAAATTACATGTACACTATAAATCTAAGAAATACAGCTGCATGAAGGTATAGTACAAGAATACTTTTGGGATCATCTGAATGCATAGTTATTATACAGCTTTATAGAGATATTGAATTTACAGATTCAATATCTATCCAATATCCTCACTTATGTGGAGGCAGCGGAGAGTGAGCGGCGGGCAAGGCAGAGTCCGGAGAGCTTCCCTCAGTCTTTGGTGGTGCCTCTGCTCCACCTTGCTGCTTTGCACCAATGCTGCAGGCTGACAGAGCTCTGTGAGGACGTCTTATAAAGGTTCTTATAAAGAACCAAGCAGAATCAGTCTGGGGGAGAAGGAGCTCTGCTGAATCACAACTGTGGAGTAGAGACGGTGTGATGGGTCAGGGAGAGCGGTTTGGAACTATTTGGAAATAATTCATTCAGTGTCCATCATTTGTTCTTTCTTCTGATTTTCCTGATTTCATAATAACACTTACATGCTTACGTACTACTTTAATAACATTTCAGATGCAGTATTTATATTTGTAACAGACTAATTTTAAATGGTGGTGTTAGTACTTTTATTTTGGTGAAGAATGCAGATTAAGCGAAACCGTAATATTTCCCAGCTCTTTGTGGGTCCGTGAAGTACACGAAAACTTGGTCAACAAGCCGCCAGTGAGCGGCTTTTCAGCCCGGACTTCTTCCTCAGATTGGACGGCGTATTATCGCTTCTTTGTTACACAACTCGGTAAAGACCACCAGAAGCGTGTTTTTAAGCTGTTCTCCACTAGGAGCGAGTGGATGTGGGCTTTGTGATTTTTATTTTACTCTCTAAGAGTTGAGTGTGTCGATTTACACGGTGAGGAGTACACTTCCATGTGGTCAGATTATCAGCGCGTCTAACAAAAGACCCGCTCACCTCCTCTTGTCTCCTACCACTCGGTTAATCCCCGCCGCGTTCACAGTCCGGGTTCCGGGTTTACTTTACTTTGAAGTGTTTGGTCAGAGTTTACGTCTGATCTTCGGATATTGATATATCCAGTTTCCTTCTTATTTTCTAAGTGCGGCCGGTGGAAGCGGAGCTGAAAGATGCCGCTTCTCCACAGAAAACCTTTCATCCGACAGAAACCCCCGGCGGACCTACGACCAGACGAGGAGGTGTTTCTCTGTAAAATCACGCACGAAATCTTCAGGACCTACGAGTAAGTACCTTACGGCCACTTGTCTCACCTGGAGGGTCCTTTAAAGAGTCACTTGAACTGAAGTTTGAACGATGTCTCATTGACAGTTGGTGCTTAGCAAACTTCCAAACAAGATGAACAAAAAACAACTTTTGTCCTGAAAAAACAAAACAAAAAACTTTTATGGGCTCGGGCGGGGGGATGCATGCCCCCCTTCTCCCGCGCCATTAAAACGTAGGTTAAAGCAGGTAGTCGGGTTTGAAGGTGGGATTTGGCAGGTGTAATGTTATCCAAGTCAGTTAGCCAACTGAAGCTAAAGTGGGTTAGCTGGGTAAGCTAACACTGAAGCTGTCAGTGAGCCGGCGGTTAGCTCAGCTAGTTTTAGCAGTTAGCTTGATGTGGTGAGGCTCGGTATCCGTTCATAGTGTAGGTCTGTTGCACCCACCTGCTGAGGTCCAGCGCACTAAGAGTGCTTTTTAAGAGCACACATGAAGTTTGCAAACTCACTCGGTCATTTTCCCGAGCGGGAAAAAATCAAAGAAGTTCTCTGTTTTTACTCCAAACTGAAGTTAAAGTTCCGCTAAACTCGACGTCAGTCTGAAGAAACTCGGGCCAAATGGACCGTGGACGTCTTCAGCTGACAGCTTCAGTATATAGTGGTACATGTTGGGTGAGTGTACTCAAACATTATGTGTAACTTTATACATCTGCTCCACTGTAACATAGTGGCAAACATGACGCGATACGTCACAACTTCTGTTTTTTCTGACAGCTTTAGCAATAAAAACGGTGTAAAACAAAAGGTGGCACACCTCAAATTTATATTCAAGTAAGACAAACTTTTCACTTTGTTTCTCTGTTTTTATATAGAGACATGCTTACTTGTTTTGGCAGAGAGTTGAAATATGTGCAGATTGTACTAATTCTTCATTTGATGAAGTTAACATGGTGTACTCACTGACTACATTTACATGCACACTTGTATTTCTGAGCATTATTCATATTGGCATACCGTGCAGGTCTTAGAGGAGCCTTTGTTATGACATTGACGAAACTGAAAATTACTTGTGCATATAATTATTATGATAGATGGATCTGCTGGTTTGTTTTCTAAGATTAGCGCCTGCATATTTGTATCCCTGGTTCCTACGTGTTGAACAGTTCCTAATATTTTAACTGCCTCTAGTTAAAAGTTAAAAAGCCAAGTATGGTTCAAAAAGAGGTTCACATTCTGTGGACGTCTTCGCACTGAAAACCAAAAGTGACTACAAGGCAGTTAACAGATGTTGCATAATTGATAAAGGCAAGCTTGGGCTTCCAAATGTGCGGGGGGGTGTTGTAGCCTAGAGAGACGATCGGGAAAATTAAGTTCAAGTAAAACAAGAACATACAAAGAATGTAAAATTACACTAAAGAAGGAGCAAATATATCTGTCCACGTATGCGACTGATGGCACACCCGTAACCTGTATCACTTGTGTTTATTACGCTCTCTGTACAAATGTTCACTCAGTTTTAGATCAGGTTTAGTTTGTTGGGAACTGTTCTCCCTTTCTGGGAGCTAATCAGATCATTTGATTAGTTTTAATCAAGTAGATCAAGTAGCGATGCGCTGCCCGGTGTAGGAGGAACTAAGTAGATTATTAAAATGTGCTAGATTTACAAACTAGAAAGAAACAGAGTTTACTAAAGAAACTTACTTGGCCAGTCTCTCCTGCTACATTTTGCAATTCTGGATTTTAATATATATTTTTCATTTGTCTGAGACAACATTGCTTTGGCTTTAGTAAGGGATACCACCCTCAGTCTTACTTTGGATGTTTGCCTGCTTCATAACAGTTAGTCCGTACTGTACAAGCCTGTTCTACAAAGCAGAAGGTTGAATTATCCAGATAACTTTACTGTTAACCCTGGAGCTTTCTGGGCTTCGAAGATGCTTCAGTACTTCCTGAGGTGTAGCACTTTGGAAACATATGGTTCCCTAATGTTTGGGGCAAAGACACTTTTTATGTATTTCTTTCTTTCTGTACACCACCACAGCCTTTTGTAAATCAATCGATATCATGTTGAAGTGCACACTTGCAGTTGTTGTGGAGTCTTTAACTTAAAATCTAAAGTGTCTTGAGGCGACTGTTGTGTTTTGGCTCTACATAAGTAAATTCATGTAATATTCAGTGTCTGCCTGAAGTCTACAACCAGTTTCCTCCTTTGCATCGGTGTGCTAGACCTTTACTGCATTCAGTTTTGTATTTAATAATGGAGAAGTATGTTAGGCTGAGATCAGATGACTGACTTGGCCATAACATAGAACTTCTAAACATGCTGGTTTTCTATAGAAAGCTTTTTTTGGGGGGGGGGGTTTGCATACAAATTATTTCAGAAAACCACCAGGGTCAATCTTATTAGTACTCTGAAAAATGTAGAAATGTTTAGCAATTAATGTAATGCTCAGTGCTTTCAAAGTCAAATTAAAATGGGGATCTTCAGATTCCAACATAATATAAAGATTTCAGGTTGAGGTTCCAGAAAGATCGTGTTACTGGAAGTGCTTCCTTTCGGCAGATGATGTGAAACTAGAGCTTTTTGGAGAAGGCCTGTTTATGTTTGTTGACTGAAGAGAGATGCATACAACCCACAGAACCCAGCCTCCACAGTGAAACACGGTGGTGGGAGTATCATACTGTGGAGAGATCAGAGCTGGAAATCTTCTTAAGGTGGGAGGGATCAAGAAGAGAGAATGATGGGAGAAGACTTTGAAAGACAGCCAAAGCGGGTCTGTGTCGATGCTTCGTCTTCCAAAATGATGACGATACAACAATCCCCTTCCCTCCTGGTGAAGAACTGCCTGCAGAAGGACAAAGTGAACATTACTCACTTGCTTCAACAAAGTGCTGAACTGAATGTTTGGCAGAGCTGTGTTAAAATCTGTTTAATAATCTGTTAACAGCTCATTAACACTTTGAGTCTAGTAATGCTGTCCTCATGTATATCTGGTGTCATTATCATTTGCACTGCAGATGCAGTCCGGTCTGTTTTGCAGCATTTAGATGACTCTGAGCAGAGAGCATTACGCTTTAGAGTTCATCTGCTCCCCATCAGCAAACACTAATGGCCCAGTTCCACTGGCAGCAGTACACAGCCATCCTATAATGATGCCTCCACCATGTTAGACGAGCTGGTGTGCGTTGGATCCTGAGCTGTTAGACTCAGTCTCCATTCTTTGTCTCTCTGTGGTTTCACAGAACTCTGCATGCTTTCACACTTGGTGTGACTTTGACCTTCATATGGATCCAATCTTCACCAACATGAAATCAGCTTGAACTGTTTTTGGTTTTTACCTGAAATTTTAAACTATCTCAAACTGTGGAGGCTACACTGCTATAAAACAGGCAGACAAACGGATTCTATTAAATACTTCCTCCCTTCATACTCTCACATCACTCTCACTCTTCTGCAGCAGCTGTGTTGTTTCAGTCCATATTATGTGGTTCACCCCTTGTTTTTCTCATAATATAGTTTTATCATTCTCTGTAAAGTCAGTCCTTCTCCTGCCAGTGTACTTATCCATAAAAGTGACTGGTTAGATGTTTCCTTCCACCCCTTTCACATGAACGAGCAGAGAAACCCTGGGATAGCTTAGTCAGTTGATCACCGCCTTCATGTAGCTGCGTATTCTGATGGCACGTGTTAGTGAAGTGAATCCAAAGAACTGGACCTGTGCATGTTGAACTCGCTTTGTAGTACAGGGCTCAGGTTGTTTCAGTGGTCCTGGATGTTGCTCCTGATTGCTCTGCACTGGACTGTCTTGGTCTGCAGCTGATGGTGTTACTCCTTGTTTTGAACTGTAGATTTGGTGTGACTTGAAATGCCACTCTAACCAAGACCTGAATCAGGTGAAGAACTGATCCACTCCTTTGCAGTGAACCTACCAAGCCTACAGAACAAAACGAGGACAGCCATCACCTGCTGGAGTCCATTGGTGGAGTTGGTACTGGGATCAGTAACTGACTGAACAGCAGTTGACAGCCAAATAAATAAAATAACTGTGTGGGGAAAAACTTTAAAATAATTTCGACCAGCATATGATGGGGGTCATATTTGTCAATCCTGCCTTATAGAGAACTGTCTGCAGGGTTCTGGTCTTTGGATAAGTTCTGAATGTCATACAGGACAGTGAACGAGATGAGAGGTACTTGATGTGTGTTTGTAAACATTCTTGGAGCTTCTAGAAACTGGACTTGAATATAAAGAGGCTGTGTGCGCCTTAATATCTGATTGTGACCCTCCTCTTCCTCAGTGAGTTCTTTGAGAGGACCATTCTGTGTAACAGCTTGGTGTGGAGCTGTGCTCTGACGGGGCGAGCGGGACTCACTTATCTTGAGGCAGTGGAGAGTGAGCGGCGGGCAAGGCAGAGTCTGGAGAGCTTCCCTCAGTCTTTGGTGGTGCCTCTGCTCCACCTTGCTGCTTTGAGCCAGTGCTGCAGGCTGACAGAGCTCTGTGAGGATGTCTACACTTTTGTCAAAGACCGGTTCTTTCCTGGGGAGGTGGTGGACGTCAGTGGATGTAATGGAGCCAGGTACACATTTGAAATATATCCATGTTTGTGTACTTACAGATTGTTAGCCTCCATCTTTCTGTGTTAAAGAGCAAAGGTGAAACCAGGTGGAGTGAGGTCATTTTCTGCTTTTGCTTTTCAGATATGTGTGTGAGATCCTGCAGGTACACCTGCCTGATTCCAGTGTTAGTCGAGCACCAGATGTTAACGGCCACGGCAAGATGGCTGACGATGACACGATTGTCATCAGTGATAGTGATGACGAGCACAGCGCCTTCCAGAGTTCCACAGTACAAGTCAATGGGTCAGTAGGTGAAAGGTCATGCCAATGTTACGATCTCAAGTTATTGAAGTGTGATCTAAAGTGTGTGTGTGTGTGTGTGTGTTAGCAGGAAGAAGTCTTTGAGTCCATCAGTGTTCAAATACACAGTGAGGATGATGAAGAACAAACACAGCGAGCCATTCACTGTCAAAGCCAATCAGATCAGGTGAGAAGCTCCCAGGTACAACCATGGAAAGTATTCTCATAATGCAATAAAATAACAATCTGCTGCGTTCAACGGGGTAAACGTCGTGGTGCATAATACTCTGTGAAACACAAATTTCAGAGCAGGGAGAACTTACAAGCTCTGTGTCAGACTCTTAATCCTAAATCGATGTGATATTATTGGCACTTAAAGATGTGGTGTGAGAGGACTTCCTTGTCTGTTCACTGTTCAGTGCTGGAATTATCAAGTGTTTTGTTCCATATCTTGACTATACATGTTGTAAAGGTGAAGCATGACACATTAATAAAACTGATGTGGGCTGAGTTGGAGTGGGAATGACTGCGCTCAGGCACTGATGGGAAAGTGGTTTCTCATTGTTAAACTAATTGATTTATTTTGTATTAAGTCGCAAGAAAAGCGCTCTGTCCAGAGAGAGACTGAAGCTGCTCTTCAAGCAGCACTGCGAGCCTCAGAGTGGGATCGTCACACTAAAGGTGAGAATATTACTGCTAAAGTCAGCATCTGGTGCAGCTGCAGCACCCTAATCACAACCTTGCTGTCGTCTCTCGCTGTGTTTCAGCCCTCCTCCATGGCAAAGTACCAGCTGTCTAAACAGACCTTCTCTCAGTTCTTTCCTGACGAGCCCCCACTATTCTCCTTCAGCCCCTCTTCTAAATGTGGAAGGCGTGACTCACCCGGACAGGTACGTATGAGTTATCATGCACTGGCATACAGTAGGGTTAATGGGGGGTGACAAAGGATTAACGGGGTCCTACCCTGAAGCCGGGCTTCAGAGTCTGATGGCTGGCTCTTAGCCCCTGGGGCCCAGCCAAAGAAGCTACCTGGGTCCCCTCTCCGGTGGGCCCACCGTCCACAGGAGGACCACATATCCTCGGTTGAAGGTCGATGAAAGAGTTTGTTTGTATCCCAGATCTGAGGTTATATGTCCCAGTTACTCTGGCTCTTTAAGAAAATCTGTGGCAGAAAGGTGAGTCCACGTGTTGGTCAGCCCTCAGATTCAGGAGGAATGGTCCCATACAAATGCAGGGAGAACTTGGTCTGAATGTCTGCTGTATGCTGGACTTGTTCCCAGTGGACTTCCAGCTGCTTGTCACAGGTTCTGTTTAGGGCAGTTCGATATAACGATATGTATCGCATGACGATATAAAAACGTCTGTCGTTTGTTTCGTGGTGTCGCAAAATAAACTGTTTACAGCAATATTTTTTCATGTTCTGATGTCACTGTAGTGACTTTATTAATTTCTTAAAGTTCTCTCTTTCTCTTATATTTAATATAACCACACTACGGACAGACAAGCGCCTGTTTGTACGTGTTGTCGTTAGCAATAGTGACGGTAAAACCATCGCGTGGCTCCGCCGTCCACGTGTTTGTTTTCCACGTAAACCTTTCACCATAAAGCTCAAGACGCTGTTGAGACTTTTGCATGTAATTCAGTTTATTTTGAAGAGTGTGCAGAGAGTTTACGGAGGAGAAGCAAAAAAGAGCCGTCAGGTGCTAAAAAATAAACCTTAGACTCAAACTTTGAAAGAAAACGGCGGCCGTTACAACTTGCGTCTAAAAATGTATCGTTTCATGCATCGGTCAAAACACTCGACTCCAGCTGCACGACGCCCAGCTGGAAACAACTTCACGCAAGTCGAGCTGCCAGAGATTCACAGAATTTACAGAAAATGTTAAATTTTTGTGATTTATATCGTTGCCAGGACGATAAATGTCTTGTATCGGGATATGAGATTTTGGTCATATCGCACAGCCCTAGTTCTGTTCATAGTTTCCATCAGCAGGTGTGTAACCAGCTGTTGGTGGATCTCCACTTCAGTAGTTTCAGGATTTCAGCTTTGTTTTCGTGCATAGAATAGAATTCAACTTTATTGTCATTGCACATGTCACAAGAACAAGGCAACAAAATGCAGTTTGCACCCATCCAGAAGTGCTTTAGCAGTAATATGGATATATTGCAGAGTATGGATCTATTATAGGAATGTTACAATGTACACGGTATGAAGGCATGTTATGAATATACTATAACTACACTCAACAAAAATATAAACACAACACCTTTGTTACTGCTCCCATTCCCCATGGGATGGACGTAGAGACCTAAAATTCATTCCAGATACACAATATAACCATCCCTCCCAAACAGTGGTCACAAATCAGTCCAAATGTGTGGTAGTGGGCACATCTGCTATATTGAGATAATCCATCCCACCTCACAGGTGTGCCACATCAGGATGCTGATCTGACATCATGAGTAGTGCACAGGTGTACCTCAGACTGCCCACAACAAAAGGCCACCCTGGAATGTGCAGTTTTTTGCGCTATTGGGGGTCTGGGGACCCAGAACCGGTCAGTATCTGGTGTGACCACCATTTGCCTCATGCAGTGCAACACATCGTCGCATGGAGTCTATCAGATTGTCAATTGTGGAATGTTGGTCCACTCCACTTCAATGGCTGTGCGAGGTTGTTGGATATTCGTGGGAACTGGTACACGCTGTCGTATACGCCGGTCAAGCACATCCCGAACATGCTCAATGGGTGACATGTCCGGTGAGTATGCTGGCCATGCAAGAACTGGGACATTCTCAGCTGCCATCTGCCCTGAACAATGTGAACCATGATTCATCCGTGAAGCCCACACCTCTCCAACGTGCCAGACGCCATCGAATGTGAGCATTTGCCCACACAAGTCTGTTACGGCGACGAGCTGGAGTCAGGTCAAGACCCCGATGAGGACGACGGGCATGCAGTTGAGCGTCCCTGAGACAGTTTCTGACAGTTTGTGCAGAAATTGTTTGGTTGTGCAAACCAATTGTTCCAGCAGCTGTCTGGGTGGCTGGTCTCAGACGATCTTGGAGGTGAACCTGCTGGATGTGGAGGTCCTGGGCTGGTGTGGTTACACGAGGTCTGCGGTTGTGAGGCCGGTTGGATGTGCTGCCATATTCTCTGAAACGCCTGTGGAGACGGCTTATGGTTGAGAAATGAACATTCAATGCACGGGCGACAGATCTGGTTGACATTCCTGCTGTCAGCATGCCAATTGCACGCTCCCTCATTGCTTGTGGCATCTGTGGCATTTTGCTGTGAGACAAAACTGCACATTCCAGGGTGGCCTTTTGTTGTGGGCAGTCTGAGGTACACCTGTGCACTACTCATGATGTCAGATCAGCATCCTGATGTGGCACACCTGTGAGGTGGGATGGATTATCTCAATATAGCAGATGTGCCCACTACCACACATTTGGACTGATTTGTGACCACTGTTTGGGAGGGATGGTTATATTGTGTATCTGGAATGAATTTTAGGTCTCTACGTCCATCCCATGGGGAATGGGAGCAGTAACAAAGGTGTTGCGTTTATATTTTTGTTGAGTGTATGTACAGGCTATAGCTGTAGTGAGTGCACAGGCTATGGACAGGTTATGCGTATGAAAACTATACAGATTTTAGATATACAATTGAGTTTTATTAAACAGTTGTAGAACTATAATTATCACATTGTACAGAATGACTGTCTGTACAGCATTACAGTAGTGCAGTTCAGATCAGTGAGAGTGGCTAATTTCCACAGTGGTTATATAAAGTGCTGGTGGTTGTGAGTGGTGGTTCAGCCCATGTTATTATTGTGTGTATGAGTTGTGTCCATTTGTTTGTTGTGTCCATTCTCTGTGTGTGTGTGTGTGGTTGTGGGTGTGCGTATGTTCAGTCCATGAGTTTAACGTGGGTCAGATGTCAGGAGGCAGAGTTCAGGAGTCTGACAGCTGTGGGGAAGAAGCTGTTCCGGTACCTGGTGGTCTTAGTCCGGAGGCTCCTGTGGCGCCTCCCAGAGGGCAGGAGGGTCCATGTGATGGGTGACTGGGGTCTTTGATGATTTTCCCAGCCCTTTTCAGACACCGCCTCCTTTAGATGTCATTTATGGCAGGAAGTGGTGCTCTGGCGATGTGCTGGGTGGTTTTCACTGCAACGCCTTCTGGTCCGAGGTAGAGCAGCTCCCGTAGCAGACTGTTATACAGTTGGTCAGGATGCTCTGGGTGGTGCGGCGGTAGACGTTCACCGGTTCGAAGTTCACTACGTTGGCCTCATCAAGTTATGACCTCCAGCTTACACTGGAGCAGTTTGCGGCCGAGTGTGAAGCAATGGGAATGACAGTCGGCACATCCAAGTCCAAGACTGGTTGATTTCTGAATTTACAGTCATTTTTTCATTCTGACATTAATACAGTTGATCTTAAATCACAAGAAAATGCGAAAATCATCATGAAATGCTACGAGAAAGTCTCAGTTTTAAAAACATATCCGCAGATTTTAAAAACAGCAAAGTTATATGCAACCATTTACCTAAAAATGCAGCCAGTGTCTTTTTTTGTACAACAATTTCAAACTACTAAAAATAAAATGACAGAACAGTTCGCTGCCACAGAATTTATTTGTGCCACTCCACAAAATAGTTTCTGTCCAACACAAGACAGAGGAGCCAATCACAGGCCTGCCAGCAGGTGTATCACTCCCCTGCGTTTACACTGCAAACGGCCTCTGGTGGCTTTTTGGCAGCGACTGTGACATTTGGTTTGTCTTCATTGTTCTGACACAAAACAAACGACTACACTCCAAACACACTGTGTGGCACCAATCTCTCGTCTCAAATCCCGCTAAAACTCACTCGCTCCTGAAACTTTCTCCTCTTCCTAAACAACTAAATATGACGTGGTCATGTCATTGTTCTTGTGTTTGACGTGGTGCATTTTCCCACCAATAGTAAACGGGTTCAGTGCGAGCAGAGTGCGCCTGTGAGCCTGTCCTTCCTGCTCTAAACATGATGATAGTATTCAGGAAAAAGCTTCGCATATATTCCACGTATAACTCTGGTTTGACTGGCCCATTAACACAATTTTAAAAACTTGTGTTGAAGGTGCGGACTTCAAACTATATACAAGTCGAAATGGAGACTTGGTGTGACTGCTCCTCAGTGATATATCATCTTAAATTGGTCGAGTGATTTGGATGCGACCCCAGAGGATGAAGCAGCTCTGTGCTGTTGACCAGTGAGGGGACAGTTTGACATTGATCGACAAATTGGGGCAGATGTTGTACCGGCCGTGTAAAAGTCACCCAAACTATACTTGATGTTTTGAAATAGCCTGTTTGTGCTTCACCAAATACACTTTTAATATTTTTTAGCAGAGAATGTAGTGACATAATCTTTAAATATCTGGTCAGTTTGTCAAGACGGAGCCTGTTTCCATAAGTGTAAATAAAAAGTCTGGCAACATCAGGCCCACACGGGTGTTAAAGCAAAACGCTGACATCACAACAGCAGCAGTGACGATGACGCCAGCACAGTTTAACATGGAGCCGTTAACGAGAAACAGGAAACGGGGGTGAGTCCAGGCTTGAGTTGAGTTTGCTCCTGCAGGGCGTTGGGAAGAGTGAGGGTTGATGTCTGCATTTAGTCGCACCAACGAGAGGCAGAGGGGCCTGCTGCTATCTAGTGGCAGCTTTTTGACAGTCATTAGAAGTAGCTGCTGTGTGGATTATCACACTGATGCTGTACATCAATGAAATCTGATTAGATTAGTCCAGTGTTTTTAAGCGTCTAATCAGCCGGGCAGGCACGCCATGCGTGCTCTCTTTGAAACGTCACAGTTTCACAACAACTTCCACTTAAACGTTGTGTTTATAAATGTGAGCTGGTGACATTAGCCTGACACGCTGCTATCTTGTTATGTTTTCCATTAAAAACTGCAAACTCTTCAAAAGTCTTGATATTAATTGTTGCTGCAGGCTGATCTTTGAGGAAACCACTCACACATGTTAGTTTCCATGTTTGTGTTAAAGTTTCTGTATCCACAAGATGAACAGGTTTATTTGGTCCAGGTTACATAAACGTCATCCTTAGACAAAGAGTACATGTGTGCACCCTTCAAACTGTAGTATAACAGGAATGAGTGTCAGTGGTGTCTGCGGTTTACTCTCATTAGGTAAACCTGAAATGTTACGTTTGTGTAGAAATAAAGCATGTAAACGTTGTTTTCAGGCGAGTTCGTCTCTACTGAAAGCTGCAGAGGAGAAACTGAAGTTGCTACAGCAGAGGGAGGAGATGGTGGCTGCAGCTCAAGACAAGGCGCGACTGAAGAAAGAAAAGGAGGAGGTGCAAGAAGCCAAGCGGAGGGAGAGGGAGGACAAGGAAAGGCTAAGGGAGGAACAGAGACGCAGGTTTGAAGAGGAGAAGCAGAGGAGAAGGGAGGAGAAGGAGCGCAGGAAGCTGGAGAAAGACCGGGTAAGTATCTTTAATCATCAGATGTAGCTGCACGTCTGATGATTAAAGCTGCACATCAGAAAAAATTACAGGAATGATGTTGAGACATGTTTTCTGATTCACAGGAACGAGAGAAGTTAAAGGAGGAGAAGAAGAAATACGCAGAGCAGCTGAAGCTTTGGAGCAAACCCAGAGAGGACATGGAGTGTGAAGACCTGAAGGTCAGTGAATGCACCGCCTCTGCCATGAGCACATTTGGACAAGCGTGTTGACTGAAACTTTAGTGTTGGTCCAGGGGAACGAGCCAGTGGACGTCATTTACACAGTATACAACACAGTTGTCACATTTAAAAGAAGAAACATTAGCAAATGCAATGCTGTGTCTGAATACTCGGGATGAGGAAACTTTCACTTCCTCATTGTTTTGTGTTACACTGTTCCTCACTGACGGCATATGCCTGCATTTATCCATGCACTGTCATCTTTACATGAGAGAGTGACTCAGTAGTGCCTGTTGTTGTCTGAGGAGCCGTGAGACAAGCTCTTAGAAGGAGCTTGGTCTAATGTAAATCAGAGGACGGTGTCTGTTGTAGTCTGTGCCCTCCTGTCTGTGGTGACGTGGCACTGAAGTCAGTATAGGTCACTGCTACAGAAGCATTAATCAAGTTTCAGTTGTTTCATTTTGTAAACACTGAGTCAGTTCAGTTTTATTTCTGCAGCGCCAAATCATAACAACAGTCACCTCAAGGTGCTTTATATTGTAAGGCAGACCCTACAATAATACATACAGAACCCAACAATCACAAGACTCCTTATGAACAAGCACCTGGTGACAGTGGGAAGGAAAAACTCCCTTTTAACAGGAAGAAACCAGAACCAGGCTCATTGAGGGGCGGGACCATATTGCTTTATCTATAAAGCCCACATGGTTTTTTGGACACCACCTAGACAGACAGCAATTTAAGGAGAACATGTGACTAAACATGTGACTCCTGGTCTAATTGGGGAGGGGACCAGAGAAGACCAGAGTCCCACATTGTTTTGGCAAAGTTACACACTGATTGATTTTAATGACCTCTGATTGACATAGCCGTGTCACGGGTGTCATTACTGCTGACGTGATTTATAATTTTACTGAATGTGTTCCTCTTTTGCTTCTCCCACCAGGAGCTGCCAAGGCCAATTCCAGTGAAAACCCGGCTTCCAGCAGAGCTCTTTGGAGATGCTCTGATGGTTCTGGAGTTCCTGCAGGCCTTTGGTGAGGCCTTTGACCTGAAGGATGAGTTCCCTGATGGGGTCTCTCTGGGTGAGAATACTTCTACATGCTCTTTGCAGTTGATGGCAGAATTATTCTTCCAGTGAAAGGTTCACAAATGCTTCAGCAGAGCCATGAATTTTCTACATAGCATTTCTAAACATGCTAGATTTCTTTATAAAGAATAAATTATTTCTATATGCACACCATTTAAAAATACAAGATTCCTGAAAAACTGTCCTTTTTATTGTGTTTTAACCAGAGATGGGCAGTAACGCTACTGTAATCAGATTACTTTTTCAAGTAACGAGTAAAGTAAGGGATTACTATTGCAAAAACGGTAATTAGATTATCGTTACTTTCCCGTAGGAACGCTGCGTTACTAAAACCGTGATTTTTTGCGAGAATGTCTCACGACAGTGACGTAAGCGAGTGCGCCGTTAGTGACAACAGCTGTGTGCAGATCAACAATGGATCATATATCGAGTGCAGAGAGAGTATGAGCGTGCAGCGTTTAAAGCGTGGAAGCACTGACCTTACTTTGAGTTTGATTCCATAAAAAGTGACAAAAACATTAGTGTCCGCTGTGCGTGGGAAGAAAACTTCTTTTTACAGCGAAAAAACCCTAAACTTCCAACAAGCACCGAGTAGCTACGACGTAATGGGAAACTCACAGAGAAACTCGCGGATTCTTCAACTGACCGCAGCACACCTACACCAGGGTAAACCTCCGCCTGCCCCACTCCTGCTTTACAGGTGAAAATAGAGCAACAGGACCGCTGAGTCTTTGACTTTATTTATTTTCTGCTGTGTTTTACTTGCATCTGTTTGAAAAACTGAGTGTAAACACAAAAAATATTTTATTTTATGTGCTGGAATGTGCAGAAAATAGGTTTAAATGTTAAACTAATTTCTTCCAGTCAGAGAATGTTGCATATAATTAAATGTTTGCTTGATGCATAAAGTTAAAAGATTAAAACTAATAAAACAAGTTTTAAAAAGAGACTTTTCCATTTGATTACATTTTGTATGATGATTATGCAGAAAAAGTAGAATTGGGCTGAAAGATCTATCGCTTTATCACCTCTTCAGGTTGTAAATCGTGTTTTTAAAAAGTAACTAAGTAACTAATTACTTTTGAAAATGAGTAATCAGTTAAGTAACGGGATTATTTTTTTGGGGAAGTAATCAGTAATTAATTACTGATTACTTTTTTCAAGTAACTTGACCAACACTGGTTTTAACTTGGTAATGCTCAAAGCTTAAACTTAGGGGTTATCCCCCAATTTACCCAAAGTACAGAAACTCTGACAGGGGTTTGACCTGTTATTTGGAAAGCAGCATATCAAAAACATCCTAATCAGGCTGGATTTAAGAGTCGCTCACAAAGCAGGAAATTGATATACATCTAGTCAAGGTGGGGGGAATCATGACGACAGGAGAAAACCTTCAGCTGTCAGCGGCAAAACTGGGTCTGGGTCATTGCTTTGTCTTCAGAGGTGACAGTACATACATCGCTTCTGGTAAAGAAATGCCTCCTTTGAAATCCTGTGGGCTGAACATGCTGCATCTGTTATCCAGCAACAAGGATGCTCGTCGCCATCAGTGGGCTAATCGTTTTGATTCTGGTAGTTTTCAGTTTCAGTGAAATGTTATTGTTTCTATGTTCAAAGTACAATAACCAACCCAACTAAAACGAATGTTTCTAAAATCTGTGTTACTGTTCTGTTTAACAACATTTCCAGTGTGTCCTCGTCTGTACTCTGCTCCCAGACTGGTTACGTGTGATGCTGGGCTGTTTTGTGGCTAAAGTGATATGTAGATAAAGGAGGTTCTAATTATAGATGCTTCACCCGTTGCCTGCTGGTGGTGGTCAGAGGGCCCGGTGGCGCCAGTGTCCGGCAGCCTCGCCTCTGTCAGTGCGCCCCAGGGTGGCTGTGGTTACAATGTAGCTGCCATCACCAGTGTGTGAATGACTGGATGTGTAAAGTGCTTTGGGGTCCTTAGGGACTAGTAAAGTGCTATACAAATACAGGCCATTTATAATCTGCTGCCTTTTCTTTCATTTTCTTTTCTTCTATGTAAAGTCCATCAGACTTTTTGCAGAACAGACAAATTCTTTTCTTTAACTTATTTAGAACTTCTACAGTTTTGTTACTCAGTCATTGGTAGAAGGGACTTTGATTTCAAATACCTATATCAAAGTGAAACACTGAGTTAGTTCTAACGTACAGAGATGCAGGACTTTTATTGTTCAGTTTTCCAGTTTTCTGACTGCGATGTTTGACTGCTGTCTCCTTACAGAGGTTCTGGAGGAGGCTCTGGTGGGTTCTGATCCTGAGGGTCCTCTGTGTGAGCTGCTGTTTTTCTTCCTGACAGCCATCTTTCAGGCTCTAGATGAGGAGCAGGAAGAGGTAGCTGCAGACCAGGTTGAAGGTCAGACACACTTGCTGTCTTTGTTAGCAGTACACTACAGGAAACTGACAAACACAAGAAAAACCTTACACCCACAAGCTGTCCCAGTATCTGAATCTGATCATTTTCTCTATGAGCTGTGTTCAAGTCCCAGTGTAACATGGGGACACCGGGCCTTCCACTGTGTACCTGTGTTTGTTTGTTTACTGTAAATAAAGTGGACACTTGTACACACAGACAGGTGTTTGAAAGAGAAAATGATCAGATTCATGAAGCTGAACTTAAATGTGTGTAAATGATCGATATTTCTTCAGGTTTGGGCATATGTATGGAAATAGTTTTACATTTGAAAATGTGTTACACATGCCGATCGTATCGTAAACATTTGCATCACAGCAAAATTCTCTCCACACTTAAAAGAGGGGAAGAATGTGAGCCCCCGAAAACTTCCCAACTGTTAAGCTGTGTTGAGTTTTATTGTCTGTAATTGGTCGATTCAGTCAGGATGTGAAACAGAAAAGGGGAAATTTAAAATTTTCCTCCCTTTTATTAAATTTTGCACTTGAGGAACATGCACACTTTTCACGTTTTTGAATGGTGAGACTTTTCAGCGGTCCTGTTCAGTTCTATGCATGTGTGCACAGTCTGTGTCATGTGTCTTTTGTTCTTACTATGCATGTGCCTTCAGACCTGACAGACGCTCTGGATGACGATTCTGACCCCACGTGTTCGGCTCTGAGTGCTATCGCCTCATTGGCTGCAGCTTGGCCTCAGCTGCATCAGGGCTGCAGTCTGAAGCAGCTCGACCTAGACAGCTGCACGCTGTCTGAAATCCTGCGCCTGCACATTTTGGCATCTGGTGCTGACTGTAACCACGGGAATGCAAAGTTCCGCTACCAGAAGCAAGGCGGGTTCACCGTAATGGACGACCCTTGTGTGGAGCTGCGACTGGCAGATCCAGCGCTGCTGAAGAAGCTGTCATCCACGGCAGTGTATGACCTCACCCCAGGTCAGATACCATCTGCTTTGTGTTCAAGAGTCAGCGAATATGTAACAGATCAGATAATGATACAGTGATAGTGCTGTGTGCACGTTTCATCAGTCAGCATTGCTGTCTACAGGGGAAAAGCTGAGGATCCTGCAGGCTTTGGTGGGGAAGGTGCTGACATTGGCGTCCAGCAGAGACTTGATTGAAGACTGTGTGGAGGAGCAGCGAGCGGCGAGGCACGAACTGAGGGAGATTAGAGCTGAGCAGCACCGTAGGGAGAGGGAGGAGGCTGCACATAGGTATATGCACACGGGCGGGCACAGTTTACCAACAAATACACACAACTCGGCTGAAGAGTGAAGGTTATCTATCGGGCAGTGTAGATTTGTCAATATTGAAATCAATGTTCAGTCACCAGAACTGGTTAATAGACTGGTTCAGGCTTCTGTGCTGCAGTGTTTACGGGACCCAGTTCCTTCATAGTCTGTCCTACAGATGAGGACAAATAACCACCCGCCTGTGAAACCCTGTCAAATTTTGTAGTTTTGTTTTTTCTGTCATGAAAACGTTTCACCTCTCTCAAACGGTGGAGAGTCCCAGGCATTAAAACCCCCTCGAGGGTCGTTGACCCATTGATCATCTGCCTCATCACATGAGCCAAGGTGTGAAAAAAAGAGTGGCCACTAGAGGTTTGGGGTCAAACCACTGTGTGACCTTGCCTCATCCTTTCATGTGGCCTATTGAGGACATCTGACACTGAAGCCATGAGTTGAGCAAGGGCGGCGTGTCCAAATAGAGCTCACGTTAAGGGCTGTTCACATCACGAGACCAAAGATAAACGAGGTCCCATTTCCCTGAAATGATTCGAGCTGTTGAAAAGACACATTCGGAGGGTCGTCACGAGCTTGCACAGAGATGTAAGCACAATATGGAGCCGCCAAAAAGAAGGAGATCAGCAGATCGGGAGCACATTAAAAGCAATGCAGTGCATAAGTTAATGTAATTTGTTACATTGTCAACTGTGGCAAAAAAATAACAAACCACTTTGAGCCTTCAAAAACATTATACATCATGTACAATAGTTAAAAGAACCCGTATGTAATGAGAAGGATGTACAAAGGTACTCCTATATAGTGTGCTCACAATGCAGACATGCAGGGACACATGACCGTATATACAAAAGTCAAAGCTTGAACATGACCGGTTTAACCTGCTGTGTACTTCCAGGGTTCGTCTCCGTAAGGAGGAGAAGATGAGAGAGCAGGAGCAGAGGATGAGGGCGAAAGAGGAGAAGATGAAGGAACAGGAGCTCAAGGGACGACTTCAGACCAATGGGTACGCAGGGAACTGCAGACATTCGTAACTTTAGTGAACTGCCTCCTTCAGTAACTGGGAAGTGCAAAGTCATTTTATTCTGCCTGAAACGTTCAGACTTAAGATAAACAGCTGGCTTTCACATGTCGGTTACAGTCTTGGTAAAAACCAAGTAAAAGGGCATCTTTACCACGAGTGTATGACACTCCATCAGTCGTGTTAGCAATACTTAGGTCAATATTATAAAATCTTTGATTTTATTTGCCTTCCTACTGGTTTTCATTGAGTCTCTGACAGATATCAGAACGTTCTTGTATTTGTTCTGCAGTGACTCGTGTACAGAACATCACACTGGAAATGAAGAGGAGCAGAGCAGCAAGATAATGAAAGGTGAAAAAGACAACAAGAAGAAGCAGGAAGAACGATAACGTTTGTGAATGTCTGAAGTCAGATGTGTTTGTTCTGTCTTCCAGCCAAAGGAAACCAGAAAGAACAGCAGCAGCAGACGGCGTCTGACCTGAAACCTCCCACCAGCCTGACGGCAGAGGAGCTGGAGAGAGAGCAGGAGAAGGTCAGAAACAGACGCTGGTTATTAGTCTCTCTGTCAGGGAGTCGGGAACAGTTCTGCTGTTCACACTGTCATCGATACAAAGAGAGAGCATGTACGCACAGCACCGTCATACAGCAGCTATATCAGTCACCAACACTTCAGTGTTCTTTGAACATCCTAGTTCTTGTTGTCGTCTGATCTGAACGGGCTTTTAATTAAAGCCTTCTGCCAAAGTCCAGGCGTTTGAAACTGCTTTTAAAACCAGCGTTTTTTCCCCCTGTAGCAATCAGAATTATAAGTGGATGATTTACCGTTCCACTTGATTGTCTTAGTTTATTCAGTCTTTATTATTATTTTTATTTTAAGTTATTACAATCAGAACAAACACAACCGGGGCACAGGAAAGAGGAGAAGAGGGAAAAGACTGAAAATCTGCTTCAACAAGCAGAAAGAAAACACAGCAGGGAAACCATGGCAACAACCACACAACAGTAAATAATAAATACTGAATGGTACTGAGCAGCACACAGGACTAATGATGTTCAGAGGCGTGTGTGTGTGTGAACATGTCTGTATTCATAAAGCACTTTTTGTTTTTCGTGGCGTCTTCTTCAGCCAACTTTCTTAGTGAGAATGACAAAAGCCTAAAAAGCAGAAGAATTCAGTTTGATCCAGCTCTGTCGTCACTGCAGGTCAGAGAGCTGCAGGAACGCATCCAGAAAGCTGCAGCCTGCACCTGCCTGTTGCCTTTGGGTAGAGATCGTCTGTATCGCCGATACTGGCTGTTCCCTTCAGCCTCCGCCCTTTTTGTGGAGGCAGACCACTTCGGCCTGACCGAGGACATGCTGCAGCCTAGCCCAAAACCTGACCAGGACACAAGCACCACCAAGGTGGAGAAAGGAGAGGAAATGGCCAAGGATAAAGCAGCTAGTACAGGGTAGGTAACATTTTATACTGGGAGTGAACCAGTTAGTTTTACACACATAACACAGCTTTCTGATGGTGACGTGACTAAAAAGTGCCGCCTCAAATCCCGCCCCGCTCCACATCTGCAGCCCACCAATCAACCAGTCCAACCAGTGGTCCTTCTACAGTTCACTGGAGGAGGTTGATCATCTAATCGAGGCTCTGAATCCTCGAGGTCACCGAGAGAGCAGCCTGAAGGAGGCGCTGCTGCAGGAGAGACAGAGGCTGCAGCACCTGCTGAAGAGCTGTGACAGAAACAAATACGAGCACACAGGTAAGAGAGCCTGAGCCTAAATACATGGGTGGACATTAGGACTACAAATATTATTCAGATGCAGGTAGTAATCACTCACACCTTTTCTTTACCCAGAGGATCAAGAGTCATCCCAGGCACTCCCAGAATGCACTGCTGCAGCTGAGTCTATGATGGAGGTGAGACTCAGAGAGCTTCTGCTGGATATTGAGGACCGGATCCACCAGGGAACTCTGGGAACTCTGAAGGTGAGAGTTCCTGCTGACGATGGTAAAGGATGGGTATCCTAAGCCACAGCTGACTCATCTCTCTTTTGATGTTCAGGTGATGGATAGACAGGTATGGCGCTTGGCGTTAGAAGCTGGAAATTATGAGCTGCTCGCTTCTGATGGCAGAGAGAACACGGGGATGAACGGAAGAGTGGAGGCCATGGAGGTGGACTCTGCCCACCTGAGAGCCAGAGACAGGTGCGTAGTTTGGCCATGATGATCCAGTGTCCAAATCAGGGTTTCAGTCTTCGTGCGTTCAAAGCTGAACGTTCCTGTGTGCGGTGTAAACAGCTGCTTATTCTTCAGGCTTCAGGAGGTGAAGTCTGACAGCTCTGCAGCGTATGGGTCCAGCGGCAGTGGAACTCCTCAGGTGGTCAGCAACTCTGTACGAATCCTGGCTCAGGCTCTTACCAACATTGAGCAAGGCATCGAGAGACGCTTCCTCAAAGCTCCGCTCGGTGAGTTTCTTTACATGATCGCATGTAAATGGTGTGTGAGAGTGAAGGTGACTGCCTGACAGAAGAGCAGGAAAGGGCAAAATGTTGGTGGCACCAAAACTATTAGAGCTACATGTTTAAATGTACTAAACCTTTCCACTTATGTTTACCGCATAACAACTGCCTCTTTCACATCTGCAGCTGATGAAGACTCAAAGAAGGACCATAAAATGAAGAACAAAAAGAAGAAAGATGAGGACCAAGCCAGTGATGGTATGACTGTCTTCTAATAATATTATCATCTGGTTGATATTCTACATTTCTCAGTAGAGCCGGGTTTCTATTTTAAAAATAAAAATCACTGTGGTCTTACCTGTGTGTGTCTGTGTGTGTGTGTCAGATGGCAGCGACTGTGGTAGAGTCAGTAAAACGGTGTTGGAGCGATGGAGGGAATCTCTGCAGTCCTGCTCCAGCCTGTCTCAGGTCAGATTATTACATATCCCATCTCAGTTATGTTCACTGCGTTTATTTTATCTTAATGAAAATCTGTTTATGGTCATGCAAGTTCTTCTTCCACCCCAGATATGTTTATTGAGCTGTTCACATGTTTGTATGACAGAGTGGAATTTACAGAATCAGTAATTGTTTTTTTTATGCAACACTATGTGATACAACAGCCTCCCACACACACAGTCCCAGCTGTCCAGCTAGTCTGTCTTAATGAGGAGCCTAAAAACTACCTGCTGGTTACAGCTGCAGAAATGTAGAGCTGGGTACCCAAACTCTACTGAAGGAGGAGAGTCTGTCACTAAGAGTATGTTGTGTTCAATCCAGATGTAATGCGTTTGCAACATCATCATAAGCCAGAGCTTTAAGGGAGTTGTGTCTCTTTCCTTCCAACGAGTGAGAATAAGCTTCTTTGCAAAAATAATACAGTAGGATATAAAACATGGCTTTGCACTGTCTATCCCCACAGCATCATTAAAAATGCCCAGAATAGTTGTCAGTGGATCAGAGCTCAGCTGCACGTGAAGAATTTGACACATTGAATCAAAGATGTCTGCCCCTTGGGACAAAAAGGTTTCTTCAGCTGGAGAGCATTTCTCACATTAGAAAATTAACCTTCCTCTTTAAAAGTGTAGATGTAGAGCATTGAATTGAGTCAAGCACTGTCTTGCATCATAAGAGCATTTATGGATATTCTCCAAAACCTTTTCCCAGTGAATATCAGTGATTGTAATACCTAATCCCTCTTCTCATTTAGTTAAAGGACGAGTTCACAGGGCTCACTGACATTAGGCTCTGATAGATGCAAGAACGTTGGGTTACTTAACATAATCCCTGGTTCTTTGATAACAGAGTGAGGTGTTTCACTATGGGAATCGCCTTGGCGTGACCAACTACGGAAGCTCCAATGCCACCACGTCTGTCTATGACAGACCTGTCGAGCCGTGCTCAGGGCTCCGCCCCCTCGTACTAACACGGCCGACCAGCTCCTCCTAACTCATTCCAAGCAGATTTCTTTCCGTGCCTAAGCAAGGAGGGAAGTGTTGGTGAAACACCTCACTCTGTTATCAAAGAACCAGGGATTACGTTAAGTAACCCAACGTTCTTCTTCTAACTTCGCTCGGTGTTTCACTATGGGAAACATGGCCCACTCCCAGATTGCGCCAGCTCCCGAAGCTACTCTCCAGTGCTACTCAAGGATCTCAGGTCGAACCTGAGGCACCAGAATCCAGCACTGCCTGAGCCAGGGATGACTGTGCAACATCCAGCCGATAAAACCGGACAAACGTGTGCGGCGTAGCCCAGCTTGCTGCCGCACAAATATCCTGGACTGATACACCTCTGAACAAAGCCCAGGATGTGGCCACACCCCTAGTGGAGTGAGCTTGGAGTCCCGGGGGGTCCTGCGAGCCCTTACAGCTATAAGCCAGAGCTATGGCCTCTACAATCCAATGAGCTAGCCTCTGGCGTGATACGGGCCTGCCCTTGTGAGGTGAGGCCCAGGAAACAAACAGCTGATCCAACTTCCTGAATCCAGCTGTTCTGTCAACATAAGTCCCCAAGGCCCGGACAGGGCACAAAGTGTTCAGCCTCTGCTCCCTCTCGGAAGAGAATGGAGGGGGGTGAAAAGCTAGGAGCTCTACTGTAGGGCACCTGTATGATGTTTCCAACACTTTAGGGACAAAGGCTGGGTTAGGCCTCAGGAGTGCTTTAGTGAGTCCCGGGGCCAACTGTAGACAAGAGGGGTGAATAGACAGAGCCTGTAATTCACTAACTCGCTTGGCTGTGGTTAGAGCCAACAGCAGAGTGGTTTTAAGAGAGAGAAACTTCAACCCCCACTGAGGATGTCTAAAACGACTGACGGATCCCATAAAGGGACCAGTGGTCTAGAAACTGGGAGCGTTCGACGCACCCCTCTCATGAAGCGACATACAAGGGGGTGCTGCCCGGCAGGTTTATCACCAAACCCCATGTGGCAGGCTGAAATAGCTGCTAAATAGACCTTTATGGTGGAAAAAGCTTTCCTTTTGTCCAGCAAGTCTTGAAGAAAACACAACAGCGCCACCACTGAACACTGAAAAGGGATAATCTGCTTTTCATGGCACCACTTTTCAAAAACACGCCGTTTACTGCTGTAAATGGAACAAGTGGAGGAGGCTCTGGCATTCTGAATGGTTTCAATAACCTTCGGAGGCATGCCTGCTGCCTTCAAATTCCACCTTTCACGGGCCAGGCCCAGAGAGCAACCTGGTCTGGATAGGGATGGTATATCTCCCCCCCGCAGAAGGTCCCTGCGGATGGGGAGTGGCCATGGCTCGTCCACCAGAAGCTGGATGATTTCTGCTATCCAGTGTTTGGATGGCCACCGTGGAGCTATCAAAATCAGTGACAGCCCCTGATCCCTCACTCTGATCAGTGTTGGGGAGATCAGGCTGAGGGGAGGGAAAGCATACAGCAGAGTTTTTGGCCATGAATGGGCCAGCGCATCTGCGTCTGACAGGGAGAAAAACAGGGGGCACGGTGTGTTTTCTCACGAGGCGAAGAGATCTACGGCAGCCCGGCCGTATCTCTGCCAAATCTGCTCCATCACCTGTGGGTGAAGCCTCCATTCTCCGAACAGTGGATTTCCTCTGGACAGGAGGTCCGCCCCCCTGTTCAGAATTCCTGGCACGTGAGTTGCCCGAAGGGAGAGGAGCCGAGTGCTGCTCCACACAATTATTTCCCTGGCTAACCTGTGTAGCTGCCGGGAACGGGTGCCGCCCTGGCGGTTGATATAAGCAACAACAGTGGAGTTGTCTGTTTTCACTAAAACATGTTGACCCCGGAGATACGGCAGAAAATGCCGTAAGGCTAGGAGCACCGCGCGGAGCTCCAGCACATTTATGTGATTCAGAGTGAGTCTCTGTGACCAAACGCCATTCACTGCTCTGCCCATCATAGTCGCACCCCAGCCTGACAGGGATGCATCTGTGGTCAGCGTCACCCTGGATGATACTCCCCCGAGAGGTACCAGCGAGAGCTGTCGGGCTCCTCCAAGGCCGGAGAGCCGCGATACACGGCTGCGTTATTTTTACACCATGACTGAGATGTCGGCGACCCACCGCTGAAAGTCTCTCATCATAAGCAGCCCCAAATGTACCACCGATATCACCGAGGCCATGAGGCCAAGGAGGCGCAGACAGAGTCGGAACCGCACGACTTTCCCCAGCTGAAAACGGGAAAGACAGTGAGTGAAGGATGCGATCCTCCGCTCTGAAAGTGCGATAAGAGATGGAGTCTATTCTGAGCCCCAGATACTCTGTAAACTGTGCGGGTTCCAAGTGGCTCTTTTCCAGGTTGATTGTGATTCACACGAGGTGGTAGGTGATTTGCTACCACCTCGGAGTCTTTTATCGCCTGCTCGTGCGATCGTGAGCATATTAGATAATCGCCGATGTAAAAGAATATTCTGATTAGGGCTGCCACAAACGATTATTTTGATAGTCGACTAGTCACCGATTATTTATGCGATTAGTCGACTAATCAGATCATCATCCACTGGACGTAAAACTACAGCTTATTGCACCAGCAGCATCTGCTCTTATATAACTATCATTAGCTTACAGCTTTAAGTGTTTAAGGTGCTAACTAAAAATAAAGACAAGATGATAGTTTATTCAATTTTAATGAAATTTGCAGATTGTTTCGGTGAAGTTTAATAAACTCCTTGCTATCTAAAATATAACAGGACACCGGAGTATATTCTCCAGCATCTCACACTTTTGATAATCAGCTGTCTGCTTGACGTTTATTCAGCTGTGTAAAAACTATAACTTTAATCTCAGACAAACCGATTTACTCAGGAACAAATAAAATACAAAAAAAAAAAAAGCCAAACAACAACATTTTTAATTTATCTAAGTGACTCATATATATTTAACCTGAGTAGCGAAAGACGGCGGTGGGTTAGAAAACAATTTGCCCGGAGTCCGGTGTTCTCACGGCTCTAGTTAGCCTAGCCCCCGGCTAGCTATCGAGCTGGTGGGTAACAGACGTCTCCGAAAACGTCGGAGCGCTTTTGAAAATATGTGGTGTCCTGATAAACTGAGCCGATATTTGAGGTTTACACAGTTACATTCTCGCCTGAAAATACGTTAAACGTTTATTTTCTGACCCAGAAAGAATAATAAGAGTAATATTAAAACTAACTAGCTGCCGCCATTGTTGGAAACTAAGCTGGGCCGCGCTATGATTTCTGGGACACAGCTGCTTCTTCTTCTTCTTCGGGGTTTAACGGCAGCTGGCATCCTTGTACATGCAGTGCTGCCATCTTCTGTTTCAGTCCGTTATTACACTCTTAAATCCTGCTACTTATTCCTGCGTCTTTTGGGATCTTACAAAGCTTCAAACGACGCGTCGACTATTAAATCAGTCGTCGACGATTTTGATAGTCGACGTAATCGTGACTAGTCGACAAATCGTGGCAGCCCTAATTCTGATGCCGCCGTTCCTTAACGGAGACAGCGCTGCCTCCACACGTTTGCTAAACACCCTTGGAGCTAAGGATAGCCCGAATGGGATAGTTTGAAACTCGTACGCTACGCTCTGATAAGCGAACGTGAGATATTTCCTGTGTGGAGGATAAATGGCGATGTGAAAAAATGCGTCTGATAGGTCGATTGTAACAAACCAATCGCCTGTGTGAATTGAGCGACAAAGCGTCTTGTGTGTGAGCATTCTGAACGTGTACTTTCTCAAATGCTTGTTTAACACACGCAGATCCAGAATAGGACGGAGCGACGTTCCGTCCTTTTTCGGGATGAGGAAATAGCGGGAGTAAAAGCCCTGCTGAGCGGCTTCGCTCGGTACCGCACTGATCGCCTATTTGTGTAACAGGGAGGATATTTCCTCCTCCAGCACATTCGCTGAATCGCGACTGGCCACAGAAGCTAACACTCCGCCGAATCTCGGTGGTTTTACTGCAAACTGTAGTCTGT